CATCCAGAAGTAGTAATTTTAATGAAAGATAGTGTAGCTGCAGCACAAAGTGATTGATCATGAGCATCCTTGAAAGATGCCATACAGCCTTAGTTATAAGCTGTATTCAAGGAGAAAGGCAGATTCCCTATGACATCTGGGAGCTGAGCCGAAATGACTTCAGTTTCACTTCAAGATCAAAAATAAACGAAAGTTTAACTATTTTATTGGTGACCAAAGGACTGCTGTTGTGAAGTGAAACATTAACAACAGGGTGAGAGCAAGCCAGGATTGCTCAACAAGGTTCATCTTCAGGTGCAACAGACCTGGCATCGTTCAATGCGCAGAAAGCAGCAGACATGGCAGAGGGGGAAGGCATGCTGCAGGCTGCAAAGGAAGCCCAAGCTGGTGAGAGAATTTTTTAAAGATTTCTTCTTGCTAATCATACAAAAAGGCACCAGGAGGGGACGAGAAGTTTCTCTGATTGTTACAGGTTGACTAGTGACCAGATGACAGGCTCTTAAATACAGATTCGGTACTTGATATTGTTAGTGATATTAATCTAAATACCTTTACAATTCTGAGTCTGCAAGGGCTGGTGAATAGAGCAGAGATGCAGGTCTGAAAAATTCTGGCATATTTTCCTTGTTGTTCAAGTGATTTGATACATTTGATACATTTTCTTAAATTACTTTGAAGTTTGAGAGAAGTCTGCAGGCAATGGAAACCAGTCTTGATCAGTATAAATCAGTTAAGCCATGCTCTTTCCTGTAATCAAAGAATTGGAGAAAATAAGCCAGAAGAGACCTGGAGAGGTTATCTCGTCCATCCAGGGCGAGGTCATTAAGCCCAAAGTGTTGCTGGCACAGATTCACCTAGCTTCTTATAACCTGACCTTGGAAAGAGAGAAAGAGGAGAGAAACACTGATATGGTAAAAGGGCTATAAAAATATGGCCAGTGTATATGAATTCAAAACAAGACTCATTATTAAGAGACCAGTGGGGCTGAGCTGAAAATCAAGAAGGGATTGTACCACAAGATGAATGCAGATAAAAATGAAGAGATCAGTTGAGTATAAACAGATTAACGTGCACAGTACTGCAGCAGGAAGCAGTGAGAATCTGAGGATTGTAAATGCAAAGGGAAAATGCAGATTGTCTTCCTGTGGATTTGGAAACCAGAAAAAATTAAATGATGAAGTGAAAGTCATAGAAAAATGTATTCATGGGAACTTCTGGCTATGCAAGGCATCTGGTAGCTGAATATTACATTTAAGCATGAATCATCCTGCAGATTCCCCACTTGCATGAAGGATAACTCAGAAAAGAGGAAATTTTACAGAAAGCAGTCCTTGCTTTTGTGCTCACCAGTTGAAGTTGTTTAGCACATGATTTTCATAGAAATTCAGGAGGGCACCTCATCCACCTGCCTTCTCTGGGACAGGACCCGATATTTAGCCAGTCCCTAATACGTTCTTACATCACAGGCATTAGGGATTGCCTGAATCCTGCAGCCCCAGCTGCACCGTCTCTGTTCCACTGCTTACCTGTCCTTGCAGAAAGGGAATTTGGCCAAAAGCAGCCCCAAATCTTTTTTACTGAAAAGAAAGTCAGTTGTTTTTCTCATCTTACCCTCAACAAAAATGGAGAATAGTTGGTCTCTGTGGCTGCTTTTCCTGTCAATGGGTAAGGGTAGCATTTGGTAGTCTTCTTCCCTGAATTTAATCTTTTTCATTCCAGAGCCACAAAGTGGTTTCTCCCATTTAGCAACATTATTTTGAGTTCATACCCTGTTCTCCTCTAGGCTTGCTCCATCCTGGTTTCAGACACAAACATGAGCAGCACGCTGGCTGTGCTGATGTTCTCTTTGCTCATGGAAAAGCTGAGGACCTGCGTGTTTCATAGCCTCCTAATCTGATGGGAAATCATTGACAGCTACTCTGAGAGGGATTTCGCAGTTGCCCACTATATGGGTATTTCATATGGACCGTCTTTTCCTGGTGAGGCATTAGAGACACTAGAGGTAGGATACATCACATCCACAGCTGCTCTAGCAGTTACACCACTTACCCTGTCACCAAAGAATAAAACAGTCTGGCTCGAGAGCATTTCTTCCAATCCAAAATGGTTGTTTGTAATCCTTATTCTCCTTTTGGTGTTTAGAAGGGATTATCTGATAAAGTATCTCTCTGGTTATGGAGGAACAAGCCTGGGTTGTCCTAACCTGCCTTTTTGAAGGCAGTGGTGATGCTTGTCCTGCTTCTGCCCTTCACAAGGGAAGTAGTTCAATACTACATTCAGCACTTGAAGGTGAACTTCATCAGGCTCTAATGATTTGAGCACATTTGAGATATCCAAATATTCTTTAAGTGGTTTTTGTCTCATTTCACCCATATTCCTACTAGTTCATTTTAATGGTGTTACATATCTTGTTGCAATTTATTTTTTTTTAGTGAAGACAAAAAGGACACAACTTTTCTGGCTTCTCTGGATGAGCTTTTATTTGCTCATTTTCTAGTTTAAATAACAGACTTTCATATTCCTTCCTCTTTCTCCAATATTGACAGCATTTCTAACATCTTTTCTTATTGCCTTTTGTGTCCCCCTGCTAGCTGTAATTCGTTTTGTGCCTTAGCTTTGCAGCTTCTGTCACTCCATGCTTGATCTGTTTGTTTATACTTGTCTTCAGAAATGCCACCTTATTTCCATTTGTGGTACAATTCCTTCCTGATTTTCAGCCCAGCCTCACAGGTCCCCTTCTATCAAGTGTTATTCTGAATTCATTTGTATCTGAGGTGCTTGCAGATTTATTCTCTTTAACTTGTTCTTGCCGTTTGCCATGAGTTACCGTTTATTACCAGCCATTTGAATTCCTTTTTTCCCTTTCTGTCTCAGAAAACCTTCTGGCAGCTAATGGCCTAAACATCTCTGCAGTGTATTTGACAAGTAGTACGTTAATCCCACCAACTGATACGTTTTTTTCATGCTAGTATTAAAAAAAAAGTTAAGCTTTAGCTTAACACATTTAGCTTATGTGACGCACAGGGCTGTGTACACACTCAAGAAATATAGCTGCAGGATGCTGAAAATATTAAGGAATCACATTGCAGCAGCGTGGGAGCCCTGTGCAAGGGATGGTGAAACCTTTTCTGTCTTCCTTTTGTATTACTCCTTTAATAACTTTGCTGCAGTGTTTGCTCTGCTCGCCTGTGCATGGCAGAATATAGCAGGTTTCTACTGGGAGTTGTCTAGAGATACTTAGGGTGGTAAAAGACACCACCAGAAGCCTCAGAAATATTCCTGCTGCCTCTGGCACAGGGTCAGACTTGCAGGACACAAGAGCACATGCTAACCTGGTGTGCAGGTGACAGGACCAACGTGCACAAGTCCTGTTCCTTGCACTGCCCCCAGTGTTGGGTATGCTTTTGAGTCACTCTTGCCCATGAAATGGGTTTAACAAACCCTAGCTCCCTGGTGGCTGTTTGTAGCACCTGAGAAGGGACCTAGGTGAAAAGCAAGGTTGCGCAGGTGTGCAAATCACTGGGAGGGCTGAAGATGAGGAGCTGGTCTCTGACAGTAGGGGGGAGGTACCAAACTGTTGCTTGGCCACTGTAAAAGAAAAACGGAATAAGAAACAGTAGACCTTCCTGGCCTCATCTGAAGTTTGGGCTTCATGTCTAGCTGCCCAGTTAGCAGGAGTGAAGCAGGATCCCCGGGGATCTTCAGAGGAAGCAATGCACATGAGGGGATGTGGAGAGTAATTATGCTTCCTCTGTGCACTCTGTCACATCTGAGTCCCTTATCTGTTTTCCATGTCTTGTTAGCAATAACTGAAGCCAGATTAAGGATCTGTGGTGTGAGTGAAAGCCTCTTTCCTGGTTTGTCAGCTGCAAACCTGATTCCTGTGATACCCGATACCATACTAGCAGCAACTCAGTATTGGAGCTAGGGATGACTTTATGGAGACTCCTTGTACCAGCTGCGGATTCTGGATGTGGTCTGTACTTTTGCTGATAAGAAAAGGGAGAAATATTTGGGAAAATTCTTTGAACATTTGCCTTTTAAAGAAGCCAAATGTAAGGGGAAGAAAAAACCCCTGCACTGTGCCGAGAATGCTGCAGAACCACAGCCACTGAGGATCGTTTATGGGAGGGTTGTGAATTTTGCTTTGTAATTACAACTGGCACTGGAAGAATACTGATGAAGAGCTCCTCTATTCCTGTGGGAAGGGCATGGAAGGAGTGACAACAGGGTACCTGCAGGGACCTGAGCCCACATAGCTGCAGGGGGAATCCAGGGACTCCCAGCACAGCGTAGGATGCATTTGCCACCTAAGGAGCCCCGAGGTGGCCTTTTGGATAATCGGAAGTAGAGACAGGGTTTGGGGCTGCTCCTGGGTGCCGGCTGTGCCCTCCAGATTAAACTGTCCCATAGGAAAAGGCAAGGTCATTCCAGGGAATTGGTGCAGGAATGAGCACTGGGTCACTTCACTCCTGGGATAGCAAAGAAATAATTTAACACAGTGCAGGCATCCGTGACATCCAGTGTCCAAGGGTTTGGCGTGATGAGCATTTTAGTAGTTATGACTTTGGATGAATGTGTGACTTTTCAGTGGAATGAGATCCCTGCAGAATAAACCTGTCATTACTGCATCGAGAGGGAGATTCACACTCTGCTCTTAAATCTGCAGGCTGTAGGGGTATCTGGGACCTGGGATTTTTATTCAGCTCACATCTGTTCAGCATACAGTGTTGTGCTGGCTGGTGCACGTATGATAGCTGGGGGCATGCCAAGCAAATAGGAGGTCCGTGCCATGAAGTGCTGACAGCCCCAACCTGTGAATGATTTAGGCTGCGTTCCCTGACTCTTCTTGAACTCTGGAGTTGTCTTTCCTGGTAGCATCTCCCTCCTCTTTCTGCCCTGGCTGCACAAATGTGCTCAATTAGGGTTAACTCAAACTGAATCAAACTTCATGCCCGAGGTTGGAAATCTTCCCAGTCAACTCACCACAGCCACATAGCATGGTGGGAGACAAAGCAAGAGGGGAGATGAACGCTTTTCAGAGAAACGAATCCAAGGAAACTTTGTTCACTTTTATTTCTGCAGGAGATGATCCCCCCAAAGGAGATTTCCCTGTTCAGAAAAAATCCCCGGTGAGTGTTACAGCTGGTTTCCTTTTCTTTGCTTTCTGCTCAGCTTGCTCTAAACATTGCAAGATCTCTCTGTTCTTTCCTCTGTTGTGCTCTGGCTAGAGACAAACACCCTTTCTTGCAGAGGATTGAAATAAGCATTAACAACTCAAGGCAAAAATCCCTCCACTAACCAGATTAAGTTAAGACAGTGCCTCTTAAAGGGAAAAAATGAACTGTCTGAATGTTCGGGAAAAAGGGTAAGGGTTTTGATTGCTGCCTTTTTCCTGAACACTACTTTCCTTGTGGGAAAGGACTTACTTCTCAGAAGTGGAGGGGGATGTTGTGCGTGGGAGGGAGGGAGGGACCTGACCTGTGCATTTGCTTAGTTTGATGAAACCCACCAGGGAAAGGTCCCCAGATGCTGCAAAGCAGAAGGAAGTACAGGGATTGAGGACAGGCCACTGATGTGTGTTACAGAGCCCAGCTGTAGTGCCAAAGTCTCAGGTTTACATCTCTGGCTCTGATTTAAAGCCAGAGTCCGGTGAATATTTTGTTGCCTTGCAGCTTTGATGTTTGTGCAGGTTTTCAGGCTAATTCTGATTGAGTGCTTGACCCCTAAAAACTGTACACTGTATTGACTTCAGGGAGAACAGGACTTGCGTTGCACCTGCTTGGACTTGCAGGAAAACATGGTAATACTTGCTCTTAAAGCTCACACTCATGTCATTAGCAAGCCACCTATTTAATTCCCAATTTTAAGTACTGTGCAGACATTAACTATTGTATATCCAGAGCTCCTGGGAAATACTAATCTTTGTCCCATTTTGCAGCTAGTCAGCAAGGAGAGGTGAAAACAAATGTCTCCTGTAGCTGGCACTTTAAATGACCTTTCTTTTTTTCCAAAGTCACAGACTACCAACTTCCCCAGTATCTTTAAGAGCTGCATAATCCTGCAGATCCCAGGTTTACAGTGGTAGTTAAGCACAGCAGACTATCTGTGTGCTCATGAATCCAGGCTTAGCCTCTTTGCTTTTGCTGGGGCTCTTTGCTGAGCAAGGTCCTCCTCCACGAAAGCAAGCAAACTGCATCTGCCTCTCCACATGGATGAAAGCTGCCCACTTTTGGAAGTCCAGGCAGGCCACAGGCAGGTCAGTGATACAGTAGACAGAATACATGAGGATTTCTGTGTGTGCTGATGCCATCTTACGACGTACAAGGCAGATGGAAGTACCCCTGCTTGTAAGTTGTTGCTCTGTGTTTGTAAGCACTTACTCAGGGTCCTGGCTCTGGCGCTTGGGGAGGTTTAGCTGGGAAGTCACCGCTTCATGCTCTCCTTTCCCTGCTTGCCCCTGCTTATCTGTAGGTGCCTATCCCAGAGCAGGAGTGGCTGAAATTGGTCACGCCAGGTTTTCTGTCACTGCAGGTCACAGCGTGGCATGTGATACCTTAAACCACTGCAGCTAAATCCAGCAGGGCTTGCGCATCTGGTGCTGGTTCAGGCAGCAGGGTTCCTGACACCTGGCCATCTGGGTTTGAACAGTCACGCTCTGCATCTCCATCAAATGTTATTAAATCTCATGAGTACTGATAGCAAGGTCTATGGAAGAGACGAAGAAAAATATCCCTGTTATACAATTTTACTTCCAAATTCAGAAAATGTCTCCAAGCACCCACAGGAAACATAATTTGCCTCTTGCAGCTTTTCTTCTTTGTTATGAAAAACTTGTTGGAGAAAGGTATTCTGTGTGTGCATATGTCTGTGTGTTTGTGCCTTTACAGCTTATATATGCCACCATTTTTAGGCTAGTCTGAAAACAGGAGGCCCCAGTGTGGTTTCCAAGGGAGCCCACTCTGTCTTACAAGCCATATGCTAAGCTTGATGGTTTCAGAGTAAATAATAAATGAAATAGATAATTACATATTTACTTTAGTAAAGCAAAGAGGCCAAGGGTTTCTTAATAAAAAGGCAGCCCATAAATAGCATGAGAAAAATATATATGAAAAAAAGGACAAAAATATTTGTCTTTAGAGGTGCTGGGTTAAGTAATGGAAAGTGGTTTTTGGTTTGGGGGGTTTGGTTTGGTGTTTTTTTTTTGGACAGCCAGGCCCTTCTCTCTTGTTGCTTTTGTATATTGTTGAGCATGACAGCATCATTAAGCTAGACTCTTCTAAACTTGATGCCATTGCTTTGGGAATCCAGATAAGCTCAGGTCTCTTGGTGGTGAAATAAACCTGAATAAACACATCTGTTTTGGTATCTGTATTTGCATTTGGGACTCAGGGAAGAAATACAGGAATTCATTATTTCTGACACGAGGCACAGAAGTGCGTGTGAAGAGTTCATCTCACTTCACTGGCCCATACCATGGCTGTGTAAAACCATAAATATAAATGCTGCTGTTAATATCACACTCCTGCCCATCCCTCACAAAGTGCATGGCCAGCCCCTCTCTCCTACTAATTGGCAGAGGCTGGGCAGTGCTGTGAAAACCTGCTTTCCCTGTTGCGAGGCAGTGGAGCTAAGCAGCTGGAAGCTGCTTAACTCGGACTGGAGTGAGGTAGCAAGAGGGACGGAGGCCCACGCAAGGTCGTGCCAAGACTCATCTGTTTAAATGCTTTGTATTTCACTTGGAAACTGCTGATTTTAGCTGGAGTAAAGTCAGATTCAGTGAAAGAGTGGCCGTGCTCGGACAGGTTTGACAGTCCCACTGCTGTTTTGTTTAGTTTTGATTAATAAATTGAATTATCCATAGCTATGCCAGCATTCTTGGAATACAAAAGGGATGCCATGCCTGAGGGAGTGCAGGACACAGGGCTGACACTCTGCTTCAGTGAATGTGGTGGCACAGTTCGATGCAAGTGAGGTGCAGAGATTGGGGGCAGTTGTCACACAGGAGGGAGCAGCTTCACACAGAAGCAGACAGTAGCTCCCTGGGGTCTACCAACTGCAGAGGCAAGGTCTGGTACTAGAACAGGGAGCAGTTTTGGGGCAAGGTAGTAGCTTTATGTGAAGTATAGGAGAAGAGGCGCCTGAAGGTGGTTTTGCATCTCAGTGGGTTTTTGCATTGCATTGGAGAGGTGGTAGGACCCTTCCACTGTAGTTCCTGGAGCTATGAGCATGGTGGGCTGCTGACAGTCCACGAATTCCCATGGTAGTCCTTACTGGGCCCATGTTAGTCAAGCTGATTCATTGGGGATCCTTAACCAAAGCAAGATAGGTGTGGGATCCCCCCCCTCCTTTGAGTCCAACCCACAGGCCAGTCAAGCAGCAGTGGGCGCCTAGTTTTTGCACTGGACTCCTCTCCACCACCCAGGCATTGTGGGGATATGTTGCTGCAGTGAAGGCTTTCACAGAGTTGATATGTTCTCATTTGTCTCCCGCAGAAACTCTGTGGCTCCAACTACCCCCTAAGCATTGCCTTCATCGTGGTGAACGAGTTCTGCGAGCGTTTCTCCTACTATGGCATGAGAGGTATGTGGCCTGTGTCTGGGAATTGACTTTCCTGTCCTTGGGTTTCTATACACACTAGCCTGGTGTTCCAGGGCTGTGCTGTATGTGGTCTCAGCTGTCTTTCAAAGTAAATTGGCATTTTGGGATGCAGGTATGAACAGTGTGCCCTAACATTGATGCTACACCTGCTCTGAGCAGAAGTTGGGACTAGAGAGCTCCAAATGTACCTTCCAGTCTAAATTTTTACATGATTCCCTGTATCAAACCTGGTTTTCCAATGTGTGACATCTTTCATAGTTGTGTGCAATCAGCGTGTTTGGGAATTGAATCATACAGGCACCTAATTTGCAAATAGAAAATGTGCATAAACAGAACTACAGGTTACAGGAAGATAAGCTAGAAAATATATTTTCTAGCTAAACATAAATGTTTATGAGCAAGGAATGCCTGATACTCATATATCTCATTTTAGCTTTTCTTGTGTTGGGGATTATGAGGAACAGGTCTGAAAGCACAGATCTTTCCACAACAGTGCTCATAGCTGCTAGACAAATCAGTGGTTTCCTTGCCACCATGATGTAGTTTCCTGCTTACCTGCAGAGATACACATTAATTATCTGATGTGATTCGCTTGTTTCCTTTTAGCTGTCCTGACACTGTATTTCTTAAGCTTCTTCCACTGGGATGAGAATCTCTCTACTGCTGTGTACCATGCCTTTTCCGCGCTATGCTATTTCACACCTGTCATTGGAGCCATCATGGCAGACTCATGGCTGGGGAAATACAAGTAAGTGAAGACATCTCTCTAATTCACACAACATACATCTACACCATGCAGCCTGTGCAAGGGCAGTGCTGTGTGTGCTCCCGGTTTTGAGCTAGCTCAGAGTGCAGCAAAGACATACTTGCGAAGGTCTGCTCCTCTCTGTTAACAGATGAACAGCTGATCTGCTTGCTCATGCTGTTCTGTGCTCCTTTTTCACCCCAGGGCTAATAGGCAACAAAGTTGGAACAACTTAAATGTCACAAGCACACTTTTCCTCCACTGTCCTTCCCTATCCACCTTGAGGAAGCTGAGGTGTAGGGTGATTAACCCTCAGCTTGCCAAGATCTGCTTCTGAAAAGGATTCAAAGATGGTGAGGAAGTGGTGTCATCCTCTAGATCTCACAGTTTCAGATGAAATATCACTAACTATACTATACTTCCTTATGCTTTGACAGCATAGGGAATGTGTGAGCACACCCATTTTTATACCAGAGAAACCTAGGTTCACTCAAATCATCTCCCTTAGCACATAACTAGGGAAGCTCTCCCTGAGTAAGTTAGGCAGTCTTCCCTTCCACTGATAAGTTGTGGGGCTATCATCTGCCCCAGAGTGGTGGTGAGCAGCTGGATATAGGACTTTCTTTGCTTGGCACTGTTTGTTCAGTGTCTGAGGAGTCTTGACTGTCAGAGTGATGAAGTGCAGCTGAACCCTTCTCTCTAGGACTAAGCACATCTGGCAGAAGAGTCTCCACAGGAAAAAAACAGCTGCCATATGCCTTTCCAGCAAAAAAGTTCTTAAGGAGATATCGATGTTCTTTTTTATTTGTGCTCAATTTTAGTCATTCTCTTGTCCCTTTGAATGAAGAAGATAACAGTGGGGGTTTATTAAGTTCATTATTTAAGGTCACCTAGCAATGTTCATTGGGATTTGAGGGTATCTGTCTTGCAGCATGTTGTTGTGAGAAGGTAAAGCCTTATGCAGACTTTTGCATGTTAGGCAGGAGACTTTCCCTGGAGTAATCCCTACGACTTAATGGGAGGTGGCTTTTGCTGTAGTAGCTGGACCGTGGCCAATACCAAGGACAGGATAACAGATTAGAGGGGCTTTTAGGAATGATCTGATGTTGATCTAAATTAGCTGTTGCAACCAGGGTTTGGATGTGTCGAGTACTGCTTCCATACTCAAAGCTCACAGGGCTTCTTCTACAGCCTCTGTCCTAACGAGTCCTTCCATTCCCTCTGTCTGTGTCTAGTCTGCACATAAATACATAGACATCTCTTAATCCTGAAGGTGATGAAGGAATAGAATACACTCAAGAGCCTGATCCTCCTGGTCAGGTTTCTTCTTCTCCCTCACCAAGACATGGGAGGCAGATAGATGAGCTCAGTCGTTCAGAGGTACTTGGGATCTAAACCAGACTTGTAATGGGGAAACCACACTCCTAATTCAGCTGTGTTAGTCAGGTGGGTTGAATGTAGGCAACAGTCCCTATAGATGCCTTCCAGTCAAGGGATTCACTTAGGCAAATGCTACAAAATGTCAGTTATTAGTAATCTGGAAACTGAGTTGGACCTAAACAGTACTCTTCTATTTGCAGCCTTCCATGCATGACAAGACAGGAGCATTTTTAGTTTATCCTGCTCAGCAACCTCTGCAAAGAAAGCAGGGGCTATCCCTCCTTAACCTGAACCCATTTGCCTGTCTCTTTCTTCCAGTGCACTCAGTGTTGACACAAAAGAGTTATAGCTGCCTGCTATACCAGTGGTATAACAAACCAGTTCCTTGTGTGTCTGCCAAGTAAACCTGCCGTATCAGGAAGCACAGGCACACTGTTTTTGGATCGTACATCACCCAGCACCTTCAGTCACTGCTGTTTGCTTTCCTCACAGGACGATCATCTACCTGTCCATTGTGTATGTGGTTGGCCATCTGATAAAGTCAGTCGGTGCAATTCCATCCCTAGGCAACCAGGTGGTTCACGTGTAAGTAGCTGTTGAAGCCGCAGCGCTGTAGTAAGTTGTGATGGTAGTTGGTTTACCCAGGACTGTCATTTGTTTCACCTCCATCAGGCCGGCAGTTTGGGGGCTGTGCATGGGTTACTTTTATCAGGGAAGGGTTTGGGATATCTGAGTAAGAACAGAAGGGTGGATCTAGAGTGAATGCATCAGAAGGAGTTGGAAACCACCACAGAGACTCTAAATCCTTTGAGATAGGGACCTCTGATCACCCCTCTATGTACCATGCTACTGGAGTTTGGTCTCTTCCATCCAGCTGCCTGCACCAGGCTCATTCCTCCCTCATTTTCTCATCAGTATAGCTGCCTGGCTCAGCAAGGTTCCCCTGTGTGTGTGGGAACAGAAAACCAAAGATACATTTTCTGATGTGACAGAGGAAGGGTCTGTCTCCTCCATAGGGTGCGACCCTTCTTGCCCTCTAGATTCTGAACTGATAGGCTTGTCAGAGTAGTTCCCCAGCTGGCATCTCTGAAACCACCAAGCTGTTTTTGCCTAGGTGGTGATAGCTCTAAAAATATACACATGCAGGCAGGAGCACATCTCAGTTACAGAACAGTTTCCTTTTGTCCAAGACCTGGCCAGTCCTGACACTCCTGTTCCCTACAGGCGTAATCTGTTGGGCCAGCAGTGGTATTTTGAGGAGCACTGGGAGGTAGATAGCACCCAAGAATGAGCCTAATCAAACAGGTTGTCTGTGCTAATGCAGGCTGGAAGGCTGCAGGAAGAGGCTTTTTTTTTTTCCCCTTTTTTTTTTCTTCTTTTTCTCAATTGATCTCTGCAATCTTTTGTTCTCACATGAGTGAAAAATAATCCCACAGATCTTTGATGTCTAGTATGTCCATTGGGCCTCAGAACAGCAAGAAACTGACAAAAGCAGTTTGGTTAATTGACTGGTACGGAATGCAGAAATGAGGATAATTAATTCGTTTTTACACTTACCTGGCTCATGATCACTACCCATGTGCGAAAGACAATGATACCAGAGGAATCGTGGTTGGGTGACACTAAAATGCTCTCATAAGCACTGGAAAGGTTCTGCAATGGTGATATTTTTGTTCTTGCATGAAGGATCCTGTCTATGGTTGGTCTGTTTTTGATCGCCCTTGGAACGGGAGGTATCAAGCCCTGTGTCTCTGCATTTGGTGGGGACCAGTTTGAAGAGGAGCATGTAAGATTTCTTTTCTTTCCTAAAATCTGCAGTGTCTGCTTACTTTATGAGGATGTTTATGTGATCAAATCCTGTTGTACTAGAATAAGGGCCAGTTTGCTAGGAAAAGGTGTAGTAAGATGTGAGGTAGGATGGTTTGCATAAAACTTGAGAGAATCTAGATGCTTCAGGAAAGGAAGATGACAGCAGAACAGGACTGATATTGGAAAGGATAGGTCATAACTGCATCAAATCATCTAAATGTTAATTGGACGTCAGAGTAGTTGGAAAATCCCGTATCATGTATCATAGAACTGTAGCTGTTTCTGAACCATCTTAACAGGAGTGATTATAATGCACTGCAATGGAATACAGCAAATGAAAGAGAAAATTGCATCACCAGCCTATGCTTCCTTGAGAATTTTCCCTCGATTCAGTCATAGTCTGTGTCTTAGGTTTGTTCAGAAAGAACTGTAGGAAATTCCAGTCTTTTGAAAGTAGCGCTGGTACCAAATCTACCCAGACTGTTTTCTAGATATTCCAGAATGGAGTTTTGACGAGTTGGGAAAATGTTTCTTTTTAGCTCTGTTTGTGCTCTGCATCCTGTGAATTGTAGTCCAGTTGCTTCGTGTCCTCATTCTCTATCATGAGTGCTTAGCTCCTCACCTGTGCTAATCTCAAACTCCCATTATGCAGCACAGTGGCTCAAACAGGGATAAGGTGGTGCTTAAAGAAGTGAAGCAGGTTAGGAAGTACTAATCCTCAGGCAAAATGCACAATTTTCAAATTGACCTGAAATTAAACACTTAGATTTATGTTGACCTAACACACAAATAAAAATTTCAGTTTTCTCAATGACAGTATTCAGATCAGCAACTTCTGTGCATGGCATAAGTCCTCAAATATGTAGAAGGCCACTGCTACAAGAAAGTAAGTAAGTATTGGGGTCTGTGATGAGTAGGCTTAAATTCAAGGAGGATTATTTAGGACTGACCGTAGGAAAAATATTCCAGAAACAGATCTAGAGAAGTACTGTAAAATATTAGGACCTTTGGGAGATGGAAATTCCCATCAATGGAGGCATTGAAGAAGGACATTAGACTAATGGTCTGTCAGGAAAGGCAGTGGTAGAGTTGGACAAAGGATGACACCTTGGCCGTGGACTGTAGGGCAGTTTGCTGTTTGTCTTTTGCAATGCTCCAGCACATAGTCAGCATTTAATGAATGAATAAAATAGACTAGAATGTTTATTAAAATTTTGGGAAGACTTGTGCTTTCTGCACATGAACTGTGTGACGCTGAAGTGATGAAACTTATGGTTACTAAGGAATAACAAAACACAGGATTTTTCATGGTCACTTGTTCAAAGCAAATCCTTCTGCAGGCATGTCCATCCTGTGCTGTTAGTTGTTCCCAGTGCTTTAGAGGATGCTGCAGAAGAGGGAGCAGCAATCATCTGGTGGTCACCAGCCTCCCCAGTTGGCACAACTCTGACCAAAATCAGGCTGGCAGTACAGCACTCACGCTCTGGGAATACGCTCTGCAATACTGCATACTGGCATGTGGGCATCCCAGCTTGCAGTGCCAATAGTTGTCCCAAAAGGATTCTAACAGGTGTTACAGCAGCATTTTCAGAAGTGCTACTTCTATGAATATTAATGATTAATAATGTTTATCCAGCATCTTTCAATTACCACCTAATTACAGTATGATAATATGTACCACTTATCTTCAGAGTGTTTCATAGACTTCAGCTAATGAATCTCAGCACCCCAGTCAGGCACATACACACTATTATTCGAAACTTACAACCACAACTGAGTTACAGAGAAAAACCTGAATTGCCTGTGGTTGTGTGGGCCTGTGCCCATTCTCCAGCATGCAGACTACACCTCTGCAACAAATTTATCAAATACTAAGGCTCAAACATTCACCTGTGTGTTGCCTTCAAGAAAAACTAATTTAGAGAAAGAAAACTGTAAAAAGCCTTCTGATAAGGACAATGTGTTCTGCTCTATTCATTCTTTTCAGAGTAGAAAGTTTTTTATTTTACCATTTTGAAATTACTTGGCCTTTCAGAAGAAAAAAGGTTTTATGTGATGTGATAGGAAATTTAAGTCTTCAAAACTGGAATGAGAATTTTTGATTTTGTAAGGAATGAAAGGTTTGCGGCCAACCAGAATATTTTTCCCCTCTGGAATGGTGTTTGAGAGGACTTACCATGTTTTTCATCTTCTGCTCCAGGTAGGATGAAATAAGTTTTGAAAATTCCCAATGAAATGAAGCATTTGTTTCCCTCTCAGTTTTCAGGACACCAATAAACTTCAGCTGAGCCCTTAAGTACACAAGCTTAGTTGTTCCATCTGGAAACTGGGGATACCATAGTTCTGTATATAAAATGAATAAATAAATTGCCCCTGCTATTTCCAGATAGAGACAAATTTATGTTTGGAGGTAAATCCACACCATTGTTCTGGTTTTCTTTTAAGTACTTTATGAGTGTAATAGTCTTGAATCTGCCCCTTTGAGAACAGTACTACTACAGACAGTGATGGAGACTGATTCAGCAGGAGGTCAGACAGGGAAAGTAGATTTATCTGTAGGAGATTTCCAAGCATCTTTGTCTATGGGATTAGGAGTCCAAGCTAAAAATATTGAACAAAATTATATTTATGATATGTTATATGAAAGCGAAGGCTACTGTGCATATTAATTAAGGACCAAAGCTGCTTTCAAACAGTGTGATATGGTGTTAAAGGTACTAAAGAGCTTTCTCTTTGTTTCTTTACTTTCTGGTTGCCGAGGAGATCAGGATTATCATGTATGGTACTTTTTCTCAAATTAACTAATCCAAATCATGTTGCTAATGTACGTCTGATCCAAAGATTAAGAAAATAGGGAGGGAATTCTTTTTTCCAATCAGTGTAATTTGCGAGCTGCTGGGTCATTATTTTTGTACTTACTTCTACTTTTCTCTGACCATTTTTTTTCCATCACTAAAATCTGAAAATGTGTGAAATAAGATGCTCCAAATTCTTTATGCATCACTACTCTCTTCTCTTACCAGCCCATTCCTTTTGGTAATTTTTGCTCTACACTTTATCATGTTGAGAGCTGCACGCTTGAGTTTTTCTCAACTCTCAGAAATTCTGAGTTGCTCAGATACAAAGGGTTAGATATATGGCGTGAGAATTTGACTAGAAGAGGGCAGGACTGCGAGGACTCTATTTCACCACCGATGTCAGGCCATGGCAGGGCTACTCTAGGAGTGGGAGAGATTGCTGAGGCTGTTCATTTCTCTAGATTTCCTTATGATGACAAATAACTAGTCACAAAGGCAGAATGAAGAAGAAAATATACTTTTACTAGCCTAGCAGCAGAAAGTTCCAGGTAATCAAAAACACTGGTAAGGACAGAAATGGAGTATAAGAGATAGTAAGACCCAGTGCTGTTTGCTATTAACCATGGGAACATGCTATAGAGATATTATTATAAGGCTATGAACCCTTTAATCCAGGATAAATCATTTACGTGTAATGTATGGATTAGATTGCCTGGGACATGCTAGGAAATAAAACTGTGGAAGAGCCAAAAGCTCAAGTTGATGGGGTCTTCATAACTGTGCTGGGGCAACGCAAAAAGCCCTTAATCCAGGTGAGGGGACCCCCAGACCTCTTAGTGGGATGCAATGGGGCTCTCACCCTCACCTTACCAGCACCTGCTTCACAAGGGGGCATAAAGAAAATCCCTCCCACCTGCCCACCTTCCCTGCAGTAATCCCTGTGATAAGAGGCTTCTTGCCGTATGAAATAGCAGTATTTCCTGTTGACTGCACCATCAGTCACGGGAAGTTCTGTTACATTTTTGGATCCCAGGCTTCATTCCTTACAAGCCGTCCTCTTTTAGCTGCCTGCAATTCTTCACATTTTCTCCTGTTTTCTAGCCTTGTGAATATTGTTGTCTCAGGGAGCAGAAGGAAGCAGGACATATTAGAAGGAGAGGGGGTAGAACCAAGTCCCTGAGGAGACTCCTCACACTCAGCTAAGTTAAAGCTTCTCATTCAAATGATGCTCAAGTCATAGAGGTGTAGCTCAAGGTCCCCTAAGGAGCAATCTGCCAGGCACTAAGCCATGTCCCAAGCAATTTGTCCACTACCTTTACAGGATCTGGTGACAGCTGGGAGTAAAGCCTAGATACGTATGGAGTATATTGGCTGCCTGGGCTTGGGCTGTCCTTAAATGCTGGTTTCACTGAATCAGGTGTCCCATAGCTGGTGATACAGATGAATGTGGGCTAGGTCAGGTAGCCTGCTCTTATTTCTCCACTCTGCTGGCCCACCCAGGCAGAGGGAGGAGGTTTAGCACTGTCTATGTGCATGCGACTGTGCATGTATGTCTCCCCCACAGGCAAGGAGAGACTGCTCGCAGTTGAATGCCCTCACACGTTGCTCCTGCAAAAAGGACCAAACTCTGCATCAAGTTGTTGATTCCTTCCAAATTAAGAATTATGCAGGAAGAAAAAAGATCAACAGGAATCCTTTGACTATGTGAACTATAATATGTTACAACATCAGTTAAATTCTGAACTCTTAGAGTTCATCTCTCCATCAGGCTCTTGAATTTGTTCCTTTAGATTTAATTTACCCTATTAGTTTGAGGTTGACTGGCCTCAGCTTGGTAATCTCCTGTCTGATGGATACCTCTCATTTGCTGGCATTTTCTCATCTATGCTGTCATTACCAGCTCCTCAAAATACACAGGTTTCTTTTTCTATTTCTACACAGGAGGGAAGGGGCGGGGGGGGAAGAGCTCAGACATGGGAAGAAATGATGAGCTTGTCAAACTATGCCAAATTGGATTGAATTAGGTGACAGAGGATCTGAATTATGCTACCTGTTCTGAATAAGTAAATGCTCTCCCCTCCTTCCAATCTCACAACACTCTCGAAGCAGTGGCTTTTCCTCTGAAATGCCGAAAAGCCCCCAAGCACTTCTCAAGTAATGTGAGCTGATTTGTGTGAGCATTTACCATCACCTGAACGCAAGCTTGTTTGCTTAACATTTTATGCACTGTGTGTCAATATTTACCCAGCCTTCCTAACAAGAGAATTGATAGTGTTCAATTTGCAAGCCCAATGCTGTGCATTAGCTGTGACATTGATAATGTCTTCTCTTGTTTTAGACCTCGGAGAGAAGCAAGTTTTTTTCCATCTTCTATTTATCCATTAATGCTGGAAGTTTGATCTCCACGTTTGTAACTCCTGTATTAAGAGGTCAGTGTTGATTTAGAATAAGACAATAAATTAGCTGCCCTCTGACTACTCTGCTGTGCGTAGTTGGGCTCTTACGACAACTGAATGGCAGAAATTACATTTTCTGTGGAGTGGCCAGTGTATTGCATTTACGCCTTGTTAATCCTGCCGTAACAGCATAATAGATTTATAGTACTAGCAGACAAGTCACAAAAACTATATTCCTGATTGTATTTCAAAGCCAGCCTGAACTGTAGAATTAAAATACGAAAGGTGAAAGGACCTACATGGTCATCTAATCCTCCCCATTGCCAGTGAAGGATTATTCCTCAGTCTTCCCTGCAGGTAGCCTGTGGATGGGAACTGATCTCTGCTGCCCCGTGCAGGTGTCAGGGCTGAAAAATTAGCAGGGCTGGTTTTGAAGTCCTACCTTCTCCCTCCCACAGGGTCCTGCTGACTTCTGGAGGGCTCTGTCCTGGCACCCAGGGGTGTCTGCGTGGGTCTGCTTGCAAGATTGCAGCCCTGAGCAGCTAGCCTTGAAGACAAAGCACAGGCCTGTGCCCCACTTAAGACCTACTTTACATTCTAGGCAGCTTCCACAACCCCTCTTAGTCCCTCAGTCTTGCTGCACTTACTTCATTGTATCGCAGTGCCTAGAAGCCAAGGGGATTGGCATGCTCTAAATACAGACACAGAGGCAGAGCAGCAGGCCACAGGAGATAGGGATGGGGAGAGGGACAAGGTAGCCTTCACACTTAGTAGCAATTCTTTTAATTCCATCCCGTGGCCTCCAGGAAGCTTTCTTTGTTCAGAGTGGTTATTTTAACAGGCCATTCATTTCATGTCATATTTACACCATGCGTACGGCCAAAGACAAATGCTGTATCTCTTGTCTTTCTCTCACTGGTGTCCCCAGGTCAGCATTCTGTTGGGAAGGGGCTTTTGCTCAATGTAGTCAGTGGGCAGATGAAAATCCAGTCCCCTTTGAACACCAAAACTGTGCCAATATAGCCTAGCAATAAACTAGTTGCAACATGGAAATGAGGTGGAGAGGATGGGGAAAGAGTAAAATTTCTGCTAAGTGTGAAAGCTTTTCTTGGAAGAGCAAGAAATGCAGTTCGTAGACATTTGGCAGAAATGTGGAATGTATACTTCTAAGTGGAGAAGTCCAACTCATTTTGCATGTCAAAAGTTCAGTGTGCCCATAATGTCTCACTGCCAGCTTTGTTGGATTTCAGCTAAATTGCTGAAAATAAGTAAATAAATGCTATGCACGCACACAGCTATGCGGCTGACCATGACTGCCCAGGGACAACAAACAGGAACAACTGAAGGCTTCATGGGTTGGTTTCCTGTTAACTATGTTGGCTTATTTTAGCCATTTTGTTATTACTCCATGTAAGAATGCAGTAATTTGTAGCCACCGTTATACAAACACAGAGCCCACTGCTGGCTTGCTGTTTGCAACTGGACCTCTAAGTTCACGTGGTGCAAGAATTGACCTGGTCCAAGAGGCGCAGGGTTTCGGTGAACCATAGCTCAGATCAATCAAAGCCACACTGTAACAAACCTGGCTTCCTGATGGGTTATTGCAAGACCTGACATTTGGAGCAGGCTGCCTCTAGTGAAATTGGGAAAGCGGCAAGAAAGGGAACCGGATTTTTAAGACTAATCCTGTGCTTCTACATATATAGTAGGGGTATTGGCTTCCACTTTGTCCACTGTAGGTTGCTGTGAAATCACATCCAGGTTTTCAGCTCAGTAACTCATGTGGCTGGCACAAATAATGTGGAAACACAGTACTGGTTATTTAGATCTAGGCAAATACAGAAAGGCTTTAGGTTATTTTAAATGTTGCAACTTTTTTCCCAATTACAGTTCCTACTACTTCTTTCTACCTATTTGTCTGCCCCCTCCCTTCTACCATTCTCATCAATATCCCATTATCAGTCACTTCTGCTGGCAGACACTAACCCTGCTTCCAAATTGTCTTCATCAAGGGAGGACAACTGTTTCAAGGAGATTCAATTCACAGTGTCAAGCACCAGCAAAGAAGATTTAAAGCCAGGGGAAGTGACTGACTCTGGGGAGGCAAATCAAAGACCCCAGTAACATAAGTCTGACTGTAATGAGGTGCTTTTATTTCTGACTTCTTTTTCAGGGGATGTGAAGTGTTTTGGAGAGGATTGTTATGCACTGGCTTTTGGTGTCCCAGCAGCTCTGATGGTGTTGGCGCTTGGTGAGTGGAAACAATAATGCTTGTAATAGGAGTTACCATTTTTGAGTCCATGGATAGATGAGAAAAAGCACAAATTCACTAGCTCTGCATGGACACTGCAATGGGAAGCTCAAGGGTTCAAGGTCATCCAACAATTCCACGGTTCAGAACAGCAAGAAAAACCACTAGTTCACTTAGTGGTGGGCAGACCATGGTTTTACTACAATCCTTTATCATGATACTGATGAGAGGGTGGTCTGGTGGATGTTTCACAATACGATTGCCTTACTTTATGAAGCAAAGGGAGGCACCAAAATGATTCTCCTGATGGCTTGCAGCTTTGCCTATGAGCAGGCTTGGCCTTTGAACTGTAATCGAAGCAGTCCTCAGAGCTCCCCAGCTTATAGAAGAGAAGCTTAGCATGCTACTTCTAACCTTTCCACAGGCTCTTTACAGCTTGGGGCCATCTTTAATGGTTCAGACTTTTGCTTGAGAATCTACGCACCACAGAAATCGCAGAAGGAGCTGAATGAGATGTTAGTTTATTCTGAGCTGTCTCACTTTGCTTGGCTGAAGTAATTCCCACAATTACGGTGACAACTTAGTATTATGTTGCAATAAAAAGCCCTTATTGTCCAAGTGTCAGAAGGCAGCTGCAATCACCCTGCTTCCTAAAGCTTGCATCTTAGCCCCATTAATGTACTTGTCAAGATTTCTTCTTCAACCCTTATAAAATACTCAGCAATTTCCACACTCTTACTGTTACTCCTTGGTAGCCAATGCAGAGGACACACCATTAGCTTTAGTTTCACAGTTGCAAGCTGCTGAGGGGAGCAGTCCCCTTATTACGCTGCATTTGAGAGGTTTTCACACAGCATGGGGTGACTTCTCATTCAGCTTGTTAGCTTAATTGAGAGACCAAGCAATTGTGTGATTTCACCACAGCATCTGTGATTTGAAAAGTTCATCCCCCAGAGAATGTGAATGTTGCTCTCTCCCCTCAAACTTCCATCGGAGAGAAGAATCAGGACACTGGAGAAATGTCACCAGGTCACAGCTAACGTTACAGCAATTATTTTCAAAAAGTGCATGGTCATGGGCCTGAGAAGCTTCTTTTTTCCCCTGTGGCCTGTTCCTATCAGTTTAAGGCAGCACAGGCTCCTCTGTGCACCATTGTGTGATGAATGTTTCTAGCAGAGTGGTAGTTGCCCAGGGGAAAATGGACGTGTAAATATTGCAGTTTCGGTGAGGGCATCAATCGAAATGTGTTTTTAGCTAGTGTCCTGCTGCCAGATTCCACGGCCTGCCCGGCAAAGCAGCTCTGTGTTCTTTTGTAACATGCTAAAATGCTCTTGGAAGTAATATATTTGACTATGTGAGCAGCATGCAGAACTGGAGAAAATACCCTTTCAGCCCTGACTGGCCCTCTCCCTGTGATGATGGAAAGCAAGGATAGGTATAGAGGCAGAATGGAAATCAGAATGGAGCAAGATTTTCTGGGCTGCTTCAGTTTCTGAAAGATGGGGGAGGATTGATGCTATTTAATTCCAAATGCCAAACCTAATGCAGGAGCCTCAGTTCCCAAAGGAGGCAATGGCATCGCCAGAAGGTATTTCAGCAAACCTAATGAATCACCTTTTAGAGGCACCAACAGGTCCACAGGGAGATGCTAAAAATCAGGTAGTGCAACTACCCACTCTGGGTGACTTTGGACAAGTGTCTTTCAGTGTGACTCACCTAAACTGACTTCAGAGGTCTCTCTGACAGTTCTGCAAGTCAAAACTGGATCCAGAGGGTCTTCACAGTCAGCAAAGAGAAATGTTGAGTTCCCTGCAGTGTCCTAGGCCTCTTGTGTTAGGACAGAGGTGCCTGCTTTTCTCCACTGGCTGTGGACAGACTATATGGATTTCACACTCAGCTTTTATTGTGCTTCTTCCTGCTAACGTCTTCAGAATTGCAATGTGCTCAGAGGCTCTCAAAGAGCAGGGCAAATTATATGTAATCAGATAGCCCCATCTCTGACAGGATTTTGAAGCCTCGGTCCAATATTCTTTGTGCTTTGAGGGAGAAAACCAAGACAAAACAATATCTTAAATTGTATAACCCTTCATGGAAACCGTAAATGGAGGTAATTTCTGTTAACACCAGTGTGTGATGCAGTGACCTTTGTGGCAGTTTCCATTGAAATGTGTGTGAGATGCAAGTACGCAGAGCCCACGTTGGATCTGGATTAATCCTCACATGGTTGCAATGAGTCAGGGATGATTTCCAACATCAGGTGCAGCAATTCAGTGTGGATTGTATTTTAAGTTTAGCCTACAAAAAGCATAGATGGAGGGAATTTTCAAAGCTTTGATTCCCAGCATGAATTAGATGTGGAGATGCCTGTTGTGCCAGAGCTGATCATGAGAAGATGACAGTGACTTCCCTAGGGATTATACTGCTTCTTGTAGGATGTTGCATTTTGTTCCATTCGAAGGCATTAAAGGAGTCCTGTATATTTATTTTGTTAAAAGTGCAATCCTGTAAGCCCCAAGGGCAGAGGATTTCTGTTGAATACAGGGGTAGAGCATCATTCCCAGAAGGTAATGCAGGATTGAGTCATGTGAATTCCCATTTGGATTATAATATTTTTCAGTTGTGTTCATTGCTGGAAGTGGACTGTACAGAAAAACACCACCACAAGGGAACGTCTTACTGGAAGTGTGCAAATGCATTGGCGTAAGTGTGTGCCATTCTCTCTTTTTCAAGCATATCTCTGAGGTTGCAGGTCAGAAAGGAGCAAAGGGAAAGGGGAGGTGACATTTGGAGTTCAGTATGCTGCACCTGGATATCTTGCTGATGAGCTGTAAGGAGTAAGAAACAGATTTAGGTCCTAGTTTATTCTTTCAACATTTCAATTGCTTTTCCTTAGCTCCATGAACTGTTCAGTTGATGTCAGTAGAACCACTAGTGGCAGATGCTGGTGGAGAGTGAACTGAAAGGAAAATTCAGAAACTCACAGAGTATCAGATATATGACTCTATTTTTTTCAGCTGAATAATTTTACTGAAGTTTATCAGTTCAGGAGACAGTAATAGTACACATTCATATTATGCACATTCAGCAAGTTCATGTAAATGCGAGAGACACCTGCTGAAGTTGCATTATAGCCTTATCAATTATTTTTCATAGTGTGTGAGCTGAATATAGTATGTGAAAAGATAGTCTCTTATTATTAGGTAGATAATGATGTTTCTTTTTCAGGAAGCTGTTGCTAACAGCAGATGTTTTCTTTTTACCTAGGTCAATCCTGGTGACAGATTTACCTTGGGGAAACAGGCCAGATCTTAAAGATAGGATTTCTATAAGTGAGGTCTGCCACTCTTTTTGCCAGGGTGGCTGTGTTCAGTGACTGGAGCACACAGCATAAACAAACAAGTTATAAATACAGTGTCACTGATTTCTCCTCCAGTGAGAAATCAACTCAAAAGCTGGTCTAGGAGTGAATGAGGCATGGGCTGCACCAGGAATATGCAAAGAAAGGTCTACAGAACAAGAAGGAAGTGAGAGTTCTGGTTTTGACATTGCTTTGGGTAATGAGGCATTTCCTCCCCAGCACAGCGGTCAATCCGACAGGTCTTTTTTGGAAGAGAACTGAAGAAATTACGTTTAAAGCTTCATTATGCAGCAGGTTTTAAATCAAACATGAAACAGTCTTTGGAGGCTAGTGTCAGATTTGTCTCTGAAAGACAAGCCTATGAGGTAGTTCATTCCCACATCATACCTTCAATCAACCAATGTCATAGAAACTTCCCTGCAGAGAATTGCTCATAAAGCATCCAACCTGAGGTTTGGAAGTGGCCAGCAAAACCCCAGCAATTTTCTGGTGCTGCTTACATTGGGGGATGGGGAGGGCAGCCTTGAGTTAGGAATGTGGCAAGGGCAGGTATGCCACAAGGGAGTTACCTGTTTTTCTCCCTAGTTTGCTATTAAAAACCGTCTGAAAAACCGCTCCCGTCAGATTCCAAAGAGAGATCACTGGCTGGACTGGGCGTCAGAAAAATACTCCGTAAGTGATGCTCTAACTGGCAGGTTTGGAGGGGGAAGGGGGAAGTTGGGCAGACAGACAGGGGAGGCAGCAAGACTGGCCTGGCCACACCACTCCTCACATGCACCGGGCTCTCACTTTTCTGGTCCCTTCCCACATCTGTACTCTCCTGACCCTTAATGGACAGTTTAGGTGCTGCACTGAAATGCAGAAATGCAAATATGTCCAGCATCATGAATAGGTGCAATGAATAACTGCCATGCAGAAAGAAATAGGAGCTCTCATGCTTCATGACTTGAATCACCTGTTGGCTTTTCACCCTCATCTTGCTTTTTTGCCTGTTCCCTTTATAGAAACAGCTGATTGGGGAGGTTAAAATGGTGACGCGTGTTCTCTTCCTCTTCATACCACTGCCAATGTTCTGGGCCCTGTTTGATCAGCAGGTACAGTACAGTGCATTGCAGGTCTGCCTGCTGACTTGGGTTTGCCCCCTTGTCCTTCCAGGATAACACCAAAGCATCCTGGGGATACAGAGTGCCACGCTCCTACCAGGTGTCCAGGGGCTTGCTAAGGCAGTACCCACCATCACTGCTGGCCATCCCTTTGCAGTCCTGCTGGGTGTCTGGCACGGGAGGGTGAGAAGGAAGAATGTGCCCTGTCTACTGGCAGGTGTTACAGGGAAGGGAAGGAAGAGGTGGGAAAAAGACCTCCAGCACTGTCGTCTTCTCTGTCTTCATGTTTTCTAGTCCCATAGGACATCTTGAAGGCTTCACAGCTCTCTGTTTTCTCCTTAGGGATCCAGGTGGACTTTGCAAGCCACAAAAATGAATGCTGATTTTGTAAGTACTTAATGTCACCAGGGCTGGTAAAACCAGTAGTAACATCACTGCTCTTGCTTTTTAACCAGAGTCTTGCAGTACTAAGAGCATCTGCTTGATGAGTCTGGGTGAGTGAGTTGCACTTTTGGTGCTTAGAAGCGAGAGGCTCTGTGCAGCCATGTTCAATTCATCACAGCACATCTTGGCAAGGAGTGAGGGCTGGGGAGCCATCAGCAGTCTGCAAGGTCAGAAGTGCTGACCTACTGGCAACCACTTGCTCTGTGACCTTGAGCAGGTAGGATTTCCAACCTGCTACCTCCACTGAAGACAGAGAAGTCATGGAAAGTTTACACAGCCCTTGTAAGGTGTAACTAGAGCTGTTGTAGCTGTATGTTTCTGCTCTGGCTTATTTGGTGATACACTAATGAAGCCTCTCAGAACCAGCAGGAATTCTGTGTATAGGGTAAAGATGTGAAGAGGAGTAATTAGTTAGTAGCCATAAAGTTCTTCAAAGATGTGAATGGCAAATGGTACAGGGTGCAGTGCCAGATAAATGTGGATCAGCTATCTACCTAAAGATACCACCATACAGGGCTGGCTTCCAGACATGTGTTTTAACAGGCCATCTTACCTGTGGATGCTCACATCAGAATTTAGGATTGTAAATGCCCATTTTCCAGTTTAAAATTGACTTAAAGCCCCAAATTTGAGCCCTGCTATGTCACTCCTGTTAAAAATTGGGCTCTCAGCATGTGATACTCATTAGGCTTAATTAATTCAAATGAGGCATGAAAAAGACTACACCTTGGGTAATATTTACCCACCTCAGAAAGACAAAGCAATGAAAGTTCATGCGGTCTTTGTGATGTCTATCTAAAAACTTTGTTTTCTGCTGTTTTGCTCACATGCACTTAGTGATCCATTAGCAGAAGATATAGCAGAATCACCAGATGTCACTTACTAAACTCTCCCTGGTGGAGAAGGATATATTCAGGGCTTTTTTGTCACACCAACTCGGACAGGTTTTTGGCTTATGTTTCAGTCTCATCTGCTCTCCACTGGTGAGTTGTCCCAACTCATGAAGGTGAGATTTAACTGCAACATTGGGGTGATCCCACTATTAGGCTTGTTGGAGTTCATGTTTGTAATATTCCATGCTTTTCCCTTCTGCAGACAAAGGGCTCAGCTAGGAAGTCCGGAGTTAAACAGGGAATGATTTAGTGTGAGATGAAATATTTGCAGGCTTGTTTCCTAATGGCACATTTGTATAGTGTGCACAAAGTAGCAGGAGGGGATATTTGCCTGATATTTTTAATTGTAAGACTCCTTTGCTGTGACCAGCGGTTTCCACTCTCCCGGGAGGCAGCTGCTGGCAGGCAGGAGACAAACCCCCACAGTGCTTTCTTGGAAAGATATTATTTCCTTCTTAATTTTTCCACCTCTTCTCTTCATCTTAATTTCAAATGAAAAGCATTGTGTGGAGTTCAGACTCCAGCCTCTCCCTGGAGACAGCTCATTGGTCCCTTTTGGGGACTGGGTCCCTCCATCCATCCCCGTTGACCTTGCCTGATTGTGGGCGCTGGGTAAAGTGCTGCAAATGTGAGGCATCTCTTATAGCCTTGAGGACTCTTGGCTCAAACCAAGAAGTCACAGTTGACCAAAGCCCATTAGGTGCCCTCGGCAGGTGGAGGGAGGAAAGAGGTGTTTGTGCAGACTGCTGACTCAGGGAAGGTCTTTAGTTATCCTTTTGGTGTGCTTGGGAGAATTGCCAACGGAGCTCAGAGGGTCCTGAAGCTTGAGAGAACTCACTTGTAGGATTTGGGTTTTTCCTATTACAGAAGCAGGGAGGGAGGAAGCTCTAAGCCCAAATCCCAACTTGGGCACTAACATGCCCATTCCTCCCCAGTCACCTAGTTCATAGCTCAACCAGCCTGAAAGATGGGTCTCAGTACCTGTAACAGGCTGTGTCCCAGCTGCCATATATCAAGGACTGAGTGCTGCTTCCTTCTGCAAAACGATTCTCATAAAACACTGTGTCCTTAGATGACAAGTGTCAAGAGCACAATATCAGCTGCTAAAGCCAACATAAACCATTTGAGGAAACCACGTTTGCTACTAAGGCCTCTACTGGGCTGGTTGTTTTTTTGCTATATGCACTGTTATATTATGGTGTTTATGAATCACTTGGAATATCTTTTTGTTTCAGGGAATATATGTCCTTCAGCCTGACCAAATGCAGGTAAAAGATACTATAGGGTATCCCTTATAAATGTATTTTCTTTTTCTTTTTCTCTCTCATTTTTATTTTTCTCATGGGACCAGTGGCCTTTCTCTGCTCCTTTTGAAGGTAATAGCAGTGCTCCTGCTGACTGCTGTGGTGTGGACTCTGTCTTATTGCTCACTAGCTGTTTTGCAAGCTTAGTCTTGGACCCCAAGGATGTCCTAACACCGAGGTTGAATCCTGCAGAATAATGCAGAGGTGTGGGGAGACATGTCACCATAATAGTTCCTGAACTAGTGCTGGCATGTGGAGGATACAAGCTGCGTCTGCTTTTAACATGCCCCTGCACTGGTTTGAGTGTTGTACCTGAAATATGTTTCCTTCCTCCCTTACTGCAGGGCAGATGAAAATGTGAAGTCTCCAAGACGGTGCTGTGTTGTCACAGTTGATTACAATTCTTACACTGAACAGCTCTGGAGAAATTCAAAGCTGTCCTGTTCCCTGAAATCTTCCTTCGAAACTGAAACAGCATTCCTCTCTGCTTGTTCTCCATCACTCTCAATTTTCTTGCTCTGCCACTGCTGGCTGGCAGACAAGCTCTGGCCCTCCCAGGAGAAATTTAGTTCCTGGGGGATTACCAAGCTGTGTGGAAGTGCGAGAAATTGCCAATCTCACAGAATAGTGCCTGTTTCTCTGGGATTTTGCTGAAATCCCAAGATGTTTCCATTATTGCTGATTTGTTGTAAGGTCTCACCACAGCACCGAAGGTCATCTGCCTCTATTGTCAGTGGGTTTTGTACTCTTCAAAAACATAATGCTTCAGTTCTCTCTTCAGGGAAACTGGACTAGTGCTGCTTGCTTACCTCTTGGAGGGGAGGATATGAACAAAATGTATTCGTGCCTGTGAAAACTAAATAGCAGAAGCTGTCGAAGTGCAAACTATGATTATATTTTAAAAGGAGGTTTTTAAGTGTTTGTTCATGTCCTTTCTGTAATGGAATTATTTCTGGAGGACAATGCTTTATGAGTTTAATTACTGCAAGTTGCTTTCTAGTCACTAAACTCCCATTCTTTTGTATTGCAGTTCTTAAATCCACTTCTTATTCTTGTCTTCATCCCAATTTTTGACCTTGGGCTCTACCCCCTGATAAACATGTGCAAATTTAATTTCACGTAAGTACTTGGGGATAATGCAGATGCCTCAGTGCTTTTTCTTTTGCAGCAAGTGTGCAGAATAGCTTTTGAGGAGGAGAAACACGAATTTCCATTCACCCTTCCCAGTACTTGCCTTTAATTCAGCCCCAAGAGGCAACATCACCCTCTTCCATAGGCCCTGGAAATTCCAGAGGGGAAAATTCAGTGATATTGGATTCTGCTCTGTACAGATTTTCCCTGAAAGTAGATATGAACTGTCCTTTGAATTTGGTCAACATGTTCTTCACCTTATCTCCTGTATCACCCCTAAATAATTTCCACCTTGAAAGGTCCCCATAGGGCTAAATTCACCATCCCATGTGGGCTATATGTGGTGTTGTGAAAGCAGATTCCACACTAGGATCTGAACCAGTGAGTACATAAGGGAATTTCCATATGGCCCAAGCATTTTATCCCTAGTCTATTTTAGCAAAAAGTGCACTGTAATAGGAGCAGACCTCCAGGTTGGCTCTGAGGCGCACTTTATGCATTTTGGGGGATTTTACTTTGGAGTGTCTGTAGTCTGCCTATGTGGACTGATGCTGTTTAGCAGTGGGAGTATGTTATGTGTGCTCATGGCGTGCCTCTGCCAGTGCAGTTTCAGCTGAAAGGAACCTCGTTTCCATGCTCCAGCACCACATCTCAACATGAACCACAGTGTGGGAAGGGGCGATGAGTGGGAGATTGGCTTAAAAAGCGTGTTCCTAATCCAAACTAAAATGCTGGATAGACAAAAGCACATAAAATGGGGATGGAAGGAGCCTCTGAAGCCCACCCCTTCACCCTGCTGATCCTTTCCCATCATGCTGAATTACCTGCACCTAAAGACATCAAAGACATTGTCCAGCCCTGCAAAATGGTGCCCTTTGGAGGACACACATGGGAAGCTGTGCTTCCCCATGCTACCTCAGTGTGAGCCCATGCCCTGGACTGAGCCCCGACTTGACAGAAAACCTCCTGCCTGATGACCAGTTGACAGAGTAGTTGACTCAGCAGCACAAACTCACGCACCACTCGGGACTGAATGCCATGCTGTTTCTGTCCCCTGGATGCAGGGTACTAACAGGCTCCTATCCAGTTTGGCTGTAGAAGTGGCTGTGGAAACAGTGTAGCATGCAGGGTGTTAGCCTATGTGGCTGCAGAAGTTTGTGCTACAAAATCCCAATGCAGCGTTGAAGATCAAACCCGTTTTTTGTATTACAAGATATGCAAGCAGTAAATATTTTCTTGTCCCAGGGCATGTAACTGAGAGACAGAATTTAGGTTCTTAATGTGGATTTCCCATAGCCCAGTCAATCTGGAATGTGAATCCAGACCATTACAAAGAGTGGAGACCACTGAATCTCAAACCAGATTGATTTCAAATCTTAACAACTCAAAGTTTGGACCTGCCATTCTGGACCTATTTTATTCTGCTTTATATCAGATTGTCTCATGTAACTCTGGTAGACTTGTACTAGTTTTGCTCTGAGTTCAGAAGCAAGCTCTTTATTCTCTAGAAATGTAAATGTATTGGCATGAGAAATAACCCAGAATGATGCCACAGATGGTCAGAAACATTGATGACACAAACTACACATTTTTCTGCTCCTCATTCCTGCTGCTAAATAGCATGCTACTTTTCTTCTGCCTTTCCCAAAAGGGACTTGAAGATATATCATTTCTAGTGCTCCTTCCAACATCACAGGTTAACATAATGGCATGAGCTATTCCCACTAGAAGAGCTAGGAACAAGATAATATGAAACTTGCAAGCAAAGACCTTTTTTTCATGGCATATCAGTTTTAATTGGCCTCAGTGCTGGCCTCATACAGAATAACAGAATAGTTTTAAGTTAAATGATTGGCAATTTAAACAGCATGTCATCCCCAGTGCCACCTGTTGGACAGTTTATTACATGGTTTTGGCACATCTTTGGCTCTGAGGAATGGTATTCTACATTTTAAATGACTTTTTTTTCTTAATGGCACCTCTTTCATTTGCTCCATAGACCTATTAGGAAAATGGCAACAGGTATGATCCTTGCAGGAATGGCGTTTGGACTTGCAGCTGTTGTAGAACTCAAAATAAATGTAAGTATAGCATAAGGGATTCCTCAGAAATACTTTCTTTCCCTGGGGTGCTTTTATTGATGCCTGTTAGATAATCCTTTTAACCATCATCTTCCTTGATCATAACTTTTAATGTGTTCTTTACAATTAAGCATACTGATCCAGTTGCTAATGATAATTCTTACTTTGTCTACCTTTCCCTCTCTTTGTCTCTGTCTCTTTCTAGTCTTTGCAGTTTTGCTGTGCTGGTCATCTGTATTGGTCTATATTCTAGATTTCCATCGTCAAAGTGCTTGACAGACATCTAGTTAATGCTAGTGATTAATTCCCAAAAGGTAGTCTGTTCTCTTTCCTATTTCTTGCTGTAGCTTGCCTATATTTTACTGGTTTGTTGTTGGTTTTTTTTAAATTTTTTTTTCTCTGTGTGTGTGTGTGTGTTGGTTTTGGGTTTTTAATTTAATTACTTTCCTACTTTAGGGTGGGGATGTGGTTTTTTACAAGCCAAATTGTTTCTCCAGTGAGGGAGGTAAATGCAGTCATTTCTGTAGTCAAAGGCATCAGGGACTGCCAGGCATCCCCAGACAGGATGGCAGCAAATCTCTTGTAAATTCGATGTTAGCCCCTGCAGATCTCTGCCATTTGTTTCTGGCCCGTGACCAGCCTTGTGCAGACTTTGGCTAACCTTTGTCTCACAAATGTTACTATAGGATTAATTTTTAAAGCTTCCATGTATACTTAAAATGTTCTGTTAGAGTGGCTGGCACACAGCCCTGGATTAACATCTGCTGGTTCCTCAGGTGAATCCACTGACAAGTCCCCCACTGAAATGAGACTTTGTGGGTTCAGGTCGTCTTTCTGGTCTCTTTACATGAGCAAAGAAACGCTCTCATTGCCACCACCAGCAGCTCTGGCCGAGCACTGAAAGTCTGCTGTGGCTGTGGCTGACTTCTCCAGGCAGAGGCAAGGCGAGTTAGAGGTTCCCCCTGCCTGTGCATGGAAATTTTACCCTGAAGGCCACTAAAAGCTCTGGCAAAGAGGGGGATCGGATGGCCCACCTTGGCTTGGCTCTGGGTTGCAAAGGTGAAAAGCCATAGTAATGGAATTTGCTGGATAACACTAACAGGCTTGTTGGTCCAGAGCAGCATATGGGTACAGGGAAATCAGTGTCGCCCTATCACTCTGACAGTATGTCTCCCCACTGAGTTATGTTCAAATTGCCCTGCCTGCAATACCCAAATTACAGGATGAGATAGAAAAAAATTAATGTCTCTGAAGCATTGCTGGCAGCTACTTGAAAATAAAGTGAGAAAAAAAGAGATTTTTTTTTTTTTAAAAAAAACCCCTCTTTTTAGATCTGCAGGTAGTACAAGGCTGATATTGATTGATGTGTTCTTTCTAGGAAATGATTCCTGACAGAAAGAGATACTTCTGTGCTGAAGGCATCATCTTTCCTTTCTCAGAAAACTGGGAATAAGATCTATCCAGTCAGCAGTTAGATAGCATGGTGTCATGTGATGCAAAAGCACCGATTACAGACATGGAGCTGGACTGGGATTTTCAAAACTGCTTAGCTTCTGGCCTAATTCTTTTCCCAGTCACTGACTGTAGTGGGAAATAATTATTCTGGTCACTGCTTTTGAAAGCTAAGCACGATTTTTTCCAGTTTGATATGGCAGTTGGTTAAATCCAGGCACTAGGGAGCTGTATAATGAAAGCAATGACATTGTTCTACCTACCCAGCAGTTGTGTAGCTTGTACGCTTAGCAGTGTGAAGAGCAGGTTTTGGGAGGAATGATAGGTTGGCTATTGAGCTACTATGAGGAAACCTCCCTAAATAAGATTTATGTTCAGTTTTCTCTCAGTGCAACTTCTGATGAGGAAGGGATGGAAAAGTGTCATTACAGAGAGGAAGAGTATTATGGCTAAAAATGAAGAGATATTAAAGTGCTAATAAAGCATACAGATGGCACTTAAAGCCTTTTACTTTAATTAGGAAACCGATATGCCTCAACTTGTCCCAGAAGAAAGTTTAATTCGGGTCCTGAATTTGGCAAAGAACCCTGTTCAAGTGACAATCCAAGACCGGGACCTATTTCAGCAGCCTGTGGAGGCTTTTCAGGTAAGCATATATGTGGGGCTGGAAGGCCTGACTTGTGTCCCGTCGAAGAAACGGTGGCTTTTTTTCAGGCATTTTCTAATAAAGCCCACAGATGCTAGAGCTTGTTCTCCTCCAATGCCTTCGAAGTGCATGGGAACAGTTTTAAAAATGGAGCATATTATCTCTGTTGATGAGACAGAAATGGAAAGTTTGGAGACATATTTCCATGGCAAAGGAGGAAATGGCTAAATACATTCACCTGTAATTAGGAATAAAGGATAATTTTCCTGATATGAGCATGTAGGACATTCAGCTCGCATCTCTCAGTGCTCACACCAGGAATTGCTGCTGGGATCTGGATGGCATTTGAACAGTTTTTACCTGCAAAGGAGGAAAGAAATGGGAAGGCAGTTCACTGGGCATGGGCACTGGGTTGTTTCGTATTTCAGCTTCCAGATTACTTTACAGGTCAGGGTGGTTTGGGACTCAGTCCAGTAGTCCGTTGGCCACCAGCAGCCTGCCATGTTTTAGGTGTGGTCCCATTGGGGCAGAACCAGGCCAGGAGAAAGGGTAGCTGTGTGGACAGAAGGTGTTCCCTGACCTTAGGGTTGCATCCAACAAGGGAAGGTACTCTAAGCTCTGGCTTGACCGCCCAAAGCCTATAGGTCAACATAGGTCCTTTGCTGTAGAAGACAGCTCTGACTTTTAACCTCTCTTTACAGGTTCCCTTGAAGAGACGATAGGGTTTCACTTGGTGGGAAGAGCCAGGTCCTTTCTCATTTGAAGGAAGTGTAACCAAGTTTGTTTTTTTTCCACAGAACCCAGCTGAGTACTCAAAATTAATATTGAATGGAGAGCAACAGAGCCTTCGCTTCACCCTGCAACATCAAGGATTGTCTCTTGCTTTTAACTACACTGTGAAGGAAAAATCAGTATACAGCTTAATTGTTTTTGAGGTGGAAGGAAGCCTATCAAGCCGCTTAGTGAGTGTGGGAGTGAAGTGTAAATACAGTATTAATTCAATGGCTGTGATGATACAATGGGGTAATAGGCTCATTAATTCATTTGCTCAGTTGCAATGTCTGTCTGATTGCTCTCAGATGCTCTAAACCTGACTTCTTAGCTAGCGGCACTGGATCTGTATGTGTTTCTGCTGGTTGATTAATAGAGCCGTTATGGCATCTGAGAGTTTCTGGGCACACTTTAATCCAGTGAATGCTGCAGTGGGAGAGCAGAGTCATGCCTGCTAAGGAGCAGAGCTTGAGAAAGCTGAGGAAACAGAGAGCCAGAGATTTTCCCCCAAAGATGGTTCTATAAAGCAAAGATGTTAAAGAGGCTCTAGGGCTGGGCACGGAATAATAGCATCAGAGGAATGATTCTGGGTTTAGTTATTGCAAGTGTTTAGTGAAAATGCACAGAAGGCCCATTTGTTTTGCTGAACAGAATAAATGATTAAGCTCATTTCAGGCTCTGCAGCAGAGCCGGCTGCATTTGGACTTTTGTGTATTGCTGCAACTATCAGAGAGAGGCATATGGGATGTATAGGGCCAGATTCTGATATCTTTTATGTGTAGCTATATCCTAAGAAGCTCTCTTGAAATGAATGGTGTTATTGCACATTGTGGCAGGTTTGCAAATGCCATCAGAATCTGTCCTCATGCTAAAATATCAATTCTCTTTGCAGTTCCTCCACCTCCTACCTTGCAGGGTTGCCACAGCAAGCGTTCAGTATTGTAAAGTGGAAATCACACAACTGTTTTTAAAAATGAGGAGTTTTAAGAATTTATTTTCTCCTAACATTGGGGTTTTTTGCTGCTTTATGGTTTAGAGCCCGGGGCTTATTATCACACAATGTTGTTAAGTTTTCTTGTGACCCTGATGACTGTATGCTCTTACCTTAAGAAATGGATACTCATACAGTGATTTTCTTACAGTCCTTAAGAAGTGAAAGCCTGTGATAGGCTGGAGCAAAGCAATCTCTGAGCTTCAGTACATCTGTGTTCTGCCCTAGCTATCTAGCCTGTGCTTAATTTAATGCCCACCCTGGCACGGGCAGGCTCCCGTGCACTGGGGAACAGCCATGCTGTTGGGTGATGCTATTGACCTGTCATTCTCAGCTCTAGATAAGGGAGGTGTGGGAGACAGTGTGGTAAATGATCCTCACTTTTCCAGCATTGCAACGCAATGAAGGCAATGCCAGCATCGCTGCTGTGTTGCAGGGCTTGCCCTGGGGTAGCCATGGCCCACGCCAGCCTCCCTCGCTGCTGGGTTTGGCCCCCTCGCTCACGTGGGGATGCTTTCCTGGAAGGATCCAATCTGAAATTGGTTTCTTCTCCTTTGTGGGCTGTTGTGTAGGCAGGAAATGAATTTGAGAGCTCTGGGGATCATTGATGAAAGCGAGTAATAATTTGGCTGGCCTGTCTGCAACGAACTAGAGTGTTAATCCCCATGTGTCTCCCATGGAAAAAAATGATGTTGTTGTTTGTTATTTATTGCTCTGACATTTATTTTTCACTGTGGCTATTTATTATCTAGGGCATACATTATTTGTAGGTCAGCATATTACACTGAAGTACAATAGACGTTTTATAGGTATACTGAAATTCTGGATCCTTGGTCTCAGAAGCTCAGTGTTTAACATCAGGAAGAAAGTGTGGAGAAAGGGCTAGCAAATGTTGAGAGAAAGCCAGTTTCTGAAAGTAGATTCAGTCCCTTTTGGCTTGCCTGGGTTCTGTCTGTGGGCAGTGCAAACTGAAATTGCCCTGCCAGCTTAAATGGACATGGCACAGCTGTGGATTTCTACCAGCCAAGAACCTTGCTCTGTATTCTTTTTGTATGACATACAATCTTCAGGGCAGGGTTGTGCCTTACTGTCTTTTTTCAGCGTTGTACACCAAATAGGCTCTCCTCAAATGAATGTAGATCATGTTAACTATTGAGCTGATGCTCTAGCTGTGATCTCCAGGAGAGGCACTCTCACTTCTCAGTGTGCTCAACCAGGTGGCCAATTCAGGGATGTGTCTGCAGAGACTGTGAGTGCAAACAAGCTCAGTGCATCTTGGTCTCTCCTGCTCTCTGCCTGCACCACACAACAGTTTAATCTCTTGAGTATTGAGGATCAGGGAAAATATGAGTGATACATGATGATCAGAATCCTAGTGGATCCTCTTGGCTTTAAGCTTCTGTTAAGTCTATGAGTATGCCAAGAATCAAGGTCTGAAGGTTAGGTGGTTGCAGGTTTTATAGGAGTAAGGCACGCATGTCTAATTGTAACTAATCATTGAAAGAGGCTAATGTGGATCATGCTCTCTTGCTATCTTCAGATCAAGACAAATACTTTTTTGAAGGGTGTTACATGCCTCAGTAGAAGGGTGACTGGCTGAAACTCTGTAGCCTTTGTTACACAGGAGATGAGGAAAAAAAAGGTATGATATCATCTTAAGCCCTTGGTGGAGCTGAAATTTTGCTGTTGGCTTCATTGCACCAGGACTTCACTTCTGTGGCCTAATGTAAAGCTTATGTGAGAGTCCAGCTGATTTCCATGGGCTTTGCAACACATGTGTAACTCCACAGACACTAGTATTTTCTGCTACACATTGTTATAAGACAGCATTAATAAATTTGTTTGATTTTTTTTTTCTTCCCCTCTTTAGATTACAGACTTGGAAGCAAAGCCAGAAAACGGTTTGGCAGCTGTTAGGTAGGAATAACATTTTTTTGAGGATTTGGAGGTGGTGGGGTGAGGGAGACTGCTTTTGTCTAGTGCAAACATAACCCAGATGTTCTCAGGTTGGAATCTAGTCCATACTTCTCGTGCAAGACTCAGGTGTCAGCTGCGGAGGCTTGACAGCGTGTCATCTCCCACACTTGCCATGCAGAGCTGAGCATTATTGCTGCTTACTGCCTAGGATAGTCTGGGCTGAGATGGCAACATAAAAGATCTCCTTTGGAAGAATGGTAAATTCATCTCACTGCATCCCAGTTCTTTGGGAAAGAACAGAAAGAAGCAATCTGGAAAGGAGCCATTGCCATTTGTCCTCTGCGAACTGGCCAACCCATGACGTTCATTTATCTCACCCAACCTCATGCACAAATGCCTGCTAAATTGGTTACAGCAACAATTTTACATCCTTGTAAACAATTTAGCTGGGCATTTGGCTCTGCGTAAGCAGCTAGTCTACTTTCCTAATTTGAGCTAGTCCATGAACAGTCCTGTGCGGGTCTGTGCTGAGATGCCATCTCATTGAGGTCACAGTTACCTCCAGCACCACTTTACCAGACTTATGTGAGGCTGCTGAGATGCAGAAGAAGCAGATTTGCCAAAAAAAAAAAAAACCCTCAAAAACTTTAGATAGTATAAAACAACGTCCAACTCCCTTATCTGAAAGCCTCTGATGACAGTGCAGGACAGCAGTATCTCTTCATAGCCCTGCACTTGTGAAGGCTTCTACTGACTAAACACCACCTTGAAGCCTTGATTAATACCTGCGGTCAGCAATGTTTTATATTTTCCTGTGAACATTTTTGACAAAATCCCAAAGTTTTCCCTTCAACAACTTGTGAAGAGGTTTCACTAGGAAGAAACTATTTTTCCACTAAAAAGTTACTTTTGCTAAGCACCCCCATTTTAAGAACTGAAACACAAAATATTTTAAAACATAGTCAGATCAAATGAAAAGTCTTTGGTTTTGCTAACAATTTTTCAGTTGTCAAAAGGAAGCTGTCTTTTGTATGTGAAAAAGCATTTAAATACTGGGTGGCAAAAACCCAAACCTGAACATTCCCATGAAAGTTTTGGGTTTCATGAAAATACCTTATTTTTCTAGAAAACTCTTTCCCACTGGTAGAAACTCCTTGGAAAGTATGCCAGCATGGTGCACACGTTCATCAAGACACCCAACGTTATAGTTTCCTTGAGTGGGCTGGGGCTCTGTCCTCTCAAACAGCCATGGAAAATCTTTGAAGGTCTTTGAGAAGAGATTGCCTCGAAGTCCTAACCCACAAAAAGTGAGGGTCACTTTTCACAGGAGAGAGGGTAAGAGGGTAAAATTACACAGCAGGGAAAACTAATCTTATATTGAAAAACTGGGCAACAAATCAGGCGAATATTTTGGTAGCTTTCAGGAGAGGCTGTCGTAACCCTATGGAGTTACAGAACACTTTGGGAGAGAGAGCACACTTCTTCTAAGGTGTCTGATATTATGCTTCTCCTACCCTGTCTGACAACCCAATGAAATATGCTTTCTTTGCAGATTCATTAATGGTTTGAGCCAAGATGTCAACGTCAGCATTGACAGCAAACGGTTCATTGCTGTTCAGAAAAACTACAGCGCTTCTGAGTACTCACTGCTAGAGAGGGACAAGTAAGTTTCCCTTGCTGTGCTGAAGGTTCTTGCTGAGGTCTTTCCTTGGATACAGTGAGGCTTTTCTTGGGCAAATAGCAAAACCTTCTTTGCTGTTGTCTTGGCATTTGGTTGTGGGGGCAGATGTTTGTAAAAAAGCAGAATTACCGGCTCTGCACAGAGCAGGTGCTCCGGGCCACTCATGTGTGTGCAGAAGCGCCACACATTTAGTCTGCAAAGTGTCCAAGCCAAAGGACAGCAAATCAGTATCTCTGTGTGTAATATGCAGTTGAATAGATTCAGCCTCCAAACAGTGTCTGGGATAGCTCCTTTCCCATGGCTGTTACTGCTTTGGTAAGATGATATCAGTAGGGACAAAACTTGGTAACTTTAATCCCATGACATGAATATAATGAGATCCTAATTTAGGCCATAATCCGAGTTTTCTCAGTGTCAGGTCAGGGAAATTTTGGAAACCCAAAAAGCCTTTTGAAGAAGTCCAGATACACTTACTTAACTTTCTCTGAGCTTTTATTCACATTATATGGGGGCCTGAAGGGAACAGACTGGCTATTCCTGTGCATCTGTCAGCAGACTAAGGTGGGGCATGGTGAAGTCCCCTCTGCCATTTGATGCCTGCTCTATTTGATATTCTCTTAGGCCCAAGCAATTAGTGTTAGGGTGCTCTCAGGGAAAGGCCAATTCATATTCCACACTACAAAGCATTGGTATGTGGGCTGGTAACATCAAGTAACATTAAATGGCTTTGCAGGCTGGGCTTGTTACACAGGGGCTCCATATGGCCTTGGTTTGGCAGCATTGGAGTTGGCTCTTGTAGGGTATTTCTGGCATTTGCAATGTTTCAAAACTAGCTTCGTGGCTTTTCTCTGCATCAGCTCCATCCAAAATATTTATTGCTCCAATTTAGTAGGATGCAGCAGCCATTGTGGCAATGCTGCTGAGCCTCTGTGCCGTCTCACACATCCAAAATCAGAAGAACAAATATGAAGCCTAATTTGCCTTACTGAAAGGAAACAAAGTGGCTTGTGGGTGCATAATTCTGATATCCTGAAGGCTGCTTGAGCCTGGCTAACTTGGTTGGCCCACAGTTCCTGAAGGAGTGGAGAAAAGTTTGGAAGGAAAATAAATGTGGGGGGTGGGGACGGCGAAATCAGTGCTGGGAAGAAGCAGAAACCATTAAAAAATGTTAGCAATAGCCCAGGTCATTAGGTGAACTCCAGTCAGTGCCTAAGTGTTTCTGGAAGGAAAAGATGACAAGAACTCTAGTGATTGTCTGACATAAACATTACTGCAGCTTTACTTCATACACCCTCCCTACTCTATTGAAGGGGCATGTTTGATAGCTCTGCTCTGTGCTCTTTGTCTGTGGGACTAACTGGGAAATACTGTACTTCGTCATTGTATCTAGATATAATAATGGAAAATGCATAACTGAAATGGGAGAATTCACCCTGGAGCTAGGGCTGCTCGACTTCGGTGCGTCATACACCATTGTGATAACTAACGTAAGTGTCCCTGTGACGGTAACGAGCTCCTTCTGTTCTAGTCTTTGGCAGTGCTTTTGTTCTTATGTTTGTGACTCTCACTTGCTTTCTCCACCCTGCAAGACCTGGGCAGTAGCCGTCTGAAGGCAGTCCATTAGAAAAGGGTTAGCAAAAAGTTTTGGCGCCTACATAAGCAAGGTGGGTGGGTACTCATTCCACCTTACACTGTGATCTTGTCAGATCTCATGGGTTAAACAAGAAGATCTTTTCCTTGATGCAAGTCCTCCATGGAAAATCATGTGATCTGAGGTTCATGCTGGTCTTGTGCCATCCTTGTTCAGTTAACGTTGACCCAGTGCGCTGCAAAGAGCTATTACAGTCTGCCAAGAGTGACTCTGCTTGTGTTCTTTAAAATACTGGACCTGGTGGTACACACACCTGAAAAACTCTGCAGAAACAGTCTGCTGTATCCTCATGTTTAACTTACTGATCTAAAGGCTGATCTTCCGAGACCTGTGGATTATGCATGGGGGGGGAAGAGGGATGGTGTTGAGGGAGGAGGTTGGTGAGATGACTGTGCATCTGTTTTTCCTCCTCTCACTGTCTGTACAGCTCGTTTGGAGCCTAGTGTAAAGTCAAGGCATGGTTCTCTGAACAACCTAGCCCTGATGTGGCATGAGCGCTGCTGAGAGGGTGGATTCCTTTCCCTGCCTGCCAGCCTCTTAGGCATGCTGCTCCAACACTGGTCCAGCTGGCAGGAGCCACGGAGATGAACGTGATCAGCTTAGTTCCCATTTTAACCTTTCCACTGCACAGGCACACAGACAAACCAGGTCTGACAGGACACACTTCTAAGCTTCCCTCTGAGACTTTGACTACTGTGTTGTGATGAGCAGAGCAAAGTGCTGTCAGCTACTCCCTGGCAGTAACATCTCCCTGTTGGGCAATTAATGGGAGCTGTTCACGTCTGCAGAGTCCAAATGCGTAGGGGGAAAAATATAGCTGCAAAGCACCTGGCATTTTTTTTAAACTCCGGTAGCTGGAGTGGGATGCACAGTCCTGGAAGGGAATGGGCAGATGCTGCCATCTGTGAATGCAGAGATTTATGTACATAAAACACATACACACTTGAAGTAATGTTGGCCAGACCCATCCTCCATGGCTGCAAGCCTCTTTCACCAGATGAGAAACCAAATAGAGAAGTTGCATGAAGAATATTACACTAAGAATATTGCCCCAGAGCCTCTGGTAATGCAACTGCGTCAGGGCCAGTTGAGATAGGTATGTCCCATATCCCTGTGGGCAAGGATTCCAGTTTGTTGTCCCATCTGCAAAAGTCCCTGCTGTAGCCATGGCTGCTTGGGGGTGGCTCTGTGCCTCAGCCCCTCAGCCCTTCTGGACTCTGTGCTAGTCTTTTAATCTTTTTGACCCTCTGTTTTTCCATCTCTCTCCCTGTGGTTTCCTTCTTCTGTAGAGAGTTAGTTTGCTCCAGGCCAAGATAATTTTTAATTATTGCAGTGATTTGTACTGAGCCCTGCTCCTTTGCCAGGAGTGCTATATAGAAGAACCAAGAATGCAATATATTAGTCTGCTAATGTGGCTGAACTATGATACTTAAATCATGGGGATGCTGCCTTCTACCCAGCCTTCCTCAGTGTGCAGTTATAGTATGGTGCTTCTGACATTTCTTTATGGGCTAAAGAGCAATGCACAGCTCTCCTCTCACCCTTTTAGCCTGCTAAAATACAGTCTCTTGATTTGCCTCCCTGTATAGTGATTAAGTACATCTCGTAAACATCCCTTGTATTTTCCGAAGTACTCTCCTTAAACACGGGGTTTTCTGCCTGAAGTCATTTCAGCCTAGTGTTTTCCTAGCTACTTAGTCAAATCTCTCTCTGCCTCTGGGCATCTGTGCATCAGAGACAGTATTAATTACACCTGCGAAAGCAAACAAAAAGAATGATGAATACAGCTACCGTAACTATCTGAATACATCTGATATGAGGCAGTCTCTGCCACTCTTGGTGTTCCTGAACTGGATTTGTTTGGATATCACTGTTATAGTAGGGGATTTGTACAGTGCTGATGAAATGGGAGCAGTGGCCACATGGCTGCAATGAGCATTTATCCTCTTGTTCTGTTCTGGCCCTGGGGACAGCAGCGGGTCACAGGCCCTGCACAAGTACCACACAGGCTTTTCCCAGCCCCACTACAGAAGGCAACTTGTTGGTTTGCAATAACTCATGCGACTCTTGCAGCACATGAATGAGCTGGGATGCTTCCATCCTCTACCCTGTGCAGTAGGAGTCAGCCCGTTCCCAACAGGCTTGGAAGTGGCAGGGGTCAGACCCAGAGTTTTGCTTCCAGGGCAGAGCTTTGCTTCCACCTTTACTTAAAACTTGACTTTGGTAAAGTTGGTATTGGAGTCCAGGCTAAGAAGGATCTGATCTTTGAGCAGCTAATCAATGTGCCTTTATTTTCCTGCTAGGTTTCTGGAGGTGATGTTAAGACATGGAAGTCGGAAGACATCAAAGCCAACAATGTCCATATGGCTTGGCAGTTACCACAATACTTATTAATATCTGCTGGGGAGGTGATGTTCTCCATTACAGGTCTGGCCTTCTCCTATTCTCAGGTACTCCACTTAAAGATTAGACTTTAGATTAGGCTTACAATTAGACTTCAGGATGTATTCCTGCATCTGTCATTGACTTGTAATATGTCCTCTGGCATGATGCTTACTGACAATGTTATCTGTGGTTCAGCTAGAAGTGGGATTATAACACAGCTTGCTGGGTGCCCTCAAGCTAAATTAATTCATACTCTGAAGATACCTGTGCTCAATTTTATTTAGGAAACTCCTTTTCTGGTAAAGCTGAGAACATAGAACAGAACTGGATAGAAGCTTATTTTAATGCGAAAGCTCTGAATACAGTAATACCAGGTTTTTCTCCCGGTGAAATAGTTTGTGGTACATATTTTCCAGTGATAAAAAGGCAAAGGTACCTCAAGGACTACAGGGTGGCATGGGGGCTTGGAACCTGCTTTAAGCTGAGAGACTGAAGGGGTCTAAGCCTACACGAGTCTGTAACAAGGGAGCAAGAGGTAACGAGTGTGCAAGGGATGATTTGATTGTTGTCTGGGGAGAAGGTTTATGAAAAGAGGGGACTGAGACATTACAAGATCAAAAAGCTGAAGCTACTCAAATTTATCCTTGGAGTAAAGTGCAGATGTTTATTAATATAAACCAGTGGGGCAATCTGTCATGAGATCTGGAAAATTTGTCATCAGTGGGAAGTTTAACATCAAGATCCAGTCTCTTTTCCAAAGGTGTGCAGCCACATGGCACCAGACTCCAAGCTGCAGGGCTTTTTGTGTGGCTCCCTGAAGTTCCTGATCGTACAATTTCAGACGATGCAGGTTGGGGATGATCAGGATCCAGCTCTGCAACCACAGCATCTCCTCTTTCTTCATGTGTCCTCCTGGAGGACATGTTTTGAAAACTCCTTGTATGCAGCTGTTGAAATTAACTACGGAGGAGTCTGTGCAGAGGAAATTCCACCATCTCCTCCTAGGCTGAGCCTGGTGAAACCTACACCGGGCAGGACATCACAGGGTAAACCAGGGCAGAAGGGCACAGCGTGTTACCTACTGACCAGGCCCTTCTCTTTTCAGTCTCCAGCCAGCATGAAGTCGGTGCTACAGGCAGGCTGGCTGCTCACAGTGGCTGTTGGGAATACCCTTGTGCTCGTTGTTGCACAGGCTGCACCAATGGCACAGGTATGGTTCGGCTCTTAAAACGGAGGTATTGCTTTAAAACAGGCCTGGATAGTGCTTCTGAATGTCCGTGTCCTGGAGCCACAGCTTCTCTGCACAGCCCCAGGCTCCTGCAGTGGTGTGATGGCAGCCTGCACCGAGCTGCCTCCCAGCCAGGGCTCTGCTTTGCCCTCAGCAGTGTTGCCCTCTGGAGAAATGGCTCTCCCTAAGCCTCCCAGTGACGATAAATAATAGTGACCTGCACTACAATAATGTTGCTGGAGCTCAGCTCTAGCCAAGCAGGCTGTGTTTGGGCCTGGAGCCTGGACACAATGCCAGCCACATGTTGCAGTTGCTTAATGAAAGCAGCTTGCCTTCATCCAGCTAGCCCAGTGGGCAGGTAGCATCCTCAAGCATCTAGTTTGGGACTCCTTCAGGGCCAGCTGCCTCTGGCACCCCTGAGATGTCAGGCTTGCATGGGGAGGTTGTGGCACAGAGCTTGTTTAATTCAAGCTATCAGACTTCTGGGCTGATGGCATGAAGGTGTGAAATGGGTCTCATTTCTGGCTGACATGAAACTGCCTCTCCCAAAGGCATCCTGTGGGCAAAAAGTCCAGGCAGGTATGTTCCAGTCAGGACAGATTTGTAAGAAAAGATTTAATGAAACTAGCCCAATCTAAAACTGGTTTGTTTCAAAGTATATCACATATTCACAATTACATAACGGGTACATGAGTTTACCAGAAAACAGGATGAGAAAGTTTCTATTTTGTGAGCAATTTCTGAAGCTAAAAAGTAATTTTCACCCAGCTCTTCAAAAAGCTCTTGGAGGTGCAGAGAAATCCTTTGGACTGAAAGTCTGGGGTCCCCTGACCTGCTGTTCTTTTTTCTTTCCTAGTGGGCTGAATTTGTCTTGTTCACTGTTCTCCTCTTTGCTGTGTGCATTATTTTCTCCATCATGGGATATTTCTATGTCAGTGTGGATCCAGAGGACCTAGAAGAAAAGGAAGAGAAGAGAGAGACCTCAAGCAGAGGAAACATGATTAGTCTCGTTACTCAGAAAACAAAGCTCTAACACATGGGTTGGGATTTTTTTTTTTTTTTAAACACAGTAGATGGGAGGGTAAAAGAAGGGTGGGGACAATGTTATTATATTTTATAGCATTGCAGTCTTTATTACTCAAAATGTAGCCACCTTCTAAATGGGACCAAATAGCCCTCTATATAAACAATGGGGGTCCTGAAATCAGAGCAAAACTCCCTGGGAAAGCTCCCCTGGTACTAAAAGCCCTTATAAGTAAATACATTGTAATTTAAAACCTGCCCATCATTTAAAGCATGCTTTCCTATGATTTTGTTTTAAACATATATTTAGGGCAGCAGGGAGGAAGGGTGGAAGGAATGCCGTATGACAGCAAAATTTGGAGATGTTGGGAGAAAAGAATGAAAACCCAGTATAGGAATTAGGGAAGAATAGATGTTACTGACAGAATTTTTAATGCTATCATCAAGAACTGGAAGTGTTACACAGAATCCCAAAGGATTTCATCATGTAACTCTCCTTATGAGTATTTCACCCTATTATTGCATGTTATGAATGGTCCTGATTTATGACTTTCACCTCCAGGCTCAGAAGTAATAACAGGGAATTAAATTCTGCAGGCTAAAATATTCCCAAAACACTACTGAAGAAGATATGCATGCTACCATCTCTCTGATAGCCATTTTTCCTAGAAGTTTTTAGCAAATGATGGTGTTCTTTGATTAGACATGATTAAAGAATTGGTTTACACTTTCTTATTTCAGAAATCCAGGCAGTTATTTGCCATCTTCCTATATATTAAGCCTTTATTGGGCATTTCCTTTTACAGCACCTGCCACTGCAAGTTAGGATGTGGCTGATTTCTTATCTCATGCTTCAATTATTCCCCACTGGGAGACACGTTGCAGCAGTTTCTATAAAATTCCAGGCATCCTGCAGTGAGTTAAACAAGGATGTGCTTTATCATTTTTTCAGTCTGCAAGAGGAGACCATGGCATAGGAGATTTTTCTTTTTCCTCCCTGTTTTTGTGTCTCTCTACCAAACTTTGGATATAGCTATTTTATCGGAATTGTGATATAATGGTCTGATTTTCCCTGCTTGCGTGAAGCTGTGATTTCATGTTCTGCATAGAAGTAATTCAACCACTGCTGATCTAGTAAAACTCTTGAGAGAGTCCCTGCCTTCCTCAGTTGCTCCAAGGCTGCAGTTGTAACAGGTATGGCCTAATTTACCACGAGGTTGTCAATAGGATCTTCAGGTTCACAGAGAACAGATTTTAAATGATGCTTTCCTCTTCCATCTTGGCATTGGCCATAGGTGCTCACTGATGCTTTGATTCAGGAGATCATGAAATACATGTTTAATTTAATTCCTGTTCAGGACAGTGCTAGGGAATACGCTTAGCTTGACACCTCTGCTACTTTAATGTGCTGCCTTGTGTGTGTGTGTCTTTTTGAGTAAGAGTGAGAAAACCCCACTTTTTGGTTTATAACTGGAAGCCTCATAGCCTGAGATTGTTTCCTTTGCTTCCTGTTGTAAATGGTCACGAAATTCCACCGCTAGTTCTGCATAAGCTCCTGCCTGCTGTGAAATAGCATCTGGGTCTTGTGCCAGAGGGGGACCATGGCCTCACGTAAGTGACAACAGGCTGCGGGTGTGCACACAGAAACACTTAATGTGGTTCAGTCAATGCAGAGCCATTTATTAAGCTGTGGTGGCTGGATCCGGACAGCTGAACCCTGCGAATCAGCAGGGAATGAAGGGCATTGAAAGCCATCTATTAGGTCATCCAACCTGCTCCTCAGACGCCAAGTGAGGATTATTCCCTCTGCTCCTTTCTGGTATTGTTCTCCTGCCGCAATTCTTTGTGTGGGTTCTTTCTCCTCCAGGCATTGTTGTTTTCCTAATCCTGTTTTATGATACACTGTGAATGAGCTCAGAGGCTGCTGAATCATTCTGCTATGATGCTGTTTGACCAGCTTCCAATTTGAAGCACTAATAGAAAGCATTTCTTCCTCCCCTCCCCCCCCGCAAACAAAACAAAAATCCCCAAACTGAAGGAATGGACAGGCTCCAGTAGCACTGAACAAACACAATTTAGAATTATTGGAGCATTTAATTTTTTATAAGCCCTGATTTTGGAAGTGTGTTGGGGTTCGAGGGCATATGTGGTGAAGACACAATTGAAAATTATTGGAGCACTTTCCTTGGGAAGCACTTGGTACATCGCAGCTCAAAGTGGTATAAGGGAAAGCAAGGTGTCCAGAGAACACACTCTTTAAGACTACATATGCTCAAGAACCTTTTGATTTTTGTTTTATTTCCTTACTGGCGGCACTACCAGAAGCTGTCACACACTCTGAGCTTAATTTAAAGGAATCATTCCAAACTCATAAAAGCTACATTTAGGATGTCATCTGTATCTGCTTTTTAGACTCCTGATGCCAAATTGTCCCTTTCCAAACATCTCCATGTTCCAAACCATCACCATAATGCTGGGGGGAGAAAAATTGCAATTCACAGATGGGAAGGTTATGAACAGGAAGGCAATGCTATAAATGAAGTGCTAACATGAGGCTGGGGGCTGCTCCTGCAGCCCCTCCAGGGAATTGCTTGCCCGAGGGAGTGTAAGGCTCTGTTCACATTTCTCTTCCAGCTGACACAGTTACTTCTTCCCACTCGCTCGTCATCACCTATTGGAAGTTTTGTCCTCCTCCGATCTGCCTGCTTGGTTGCTGGTATGATCCTTCCCCACCGTTTCAGCTGCAGTTGTAAAGCTTTGCTAATTGGACCCGTTTATTTGAAATGCACCAGCAGTTTGGAGGGATTTCCACTGGGCATGCTGACAACCAGCCAGGAGCAGGCTGGGGGCTGTAATGAAGAGCCGCCCCTGCTGTAGCTGGAGAAGGTGGCAAAATAGCACATTCAGCATAGCACTTCTCCAATTTTAGAGCCACAACTCCATCCCAGAGCCCTTTCATCACCTTCAAATGGACTCAATACTGGATCAAAGATTTAGGACCTGATTCTGTGGAGTATTGAGGTCTCTGGGTTTTCTTCCATACAGTCAGCTCAGAGATGCGGCCATGCACAGCTCTTAACACCCAATTTTAGAACAATATTCCTTATTCCTCCCGATTCTTTAATTTAGGATCAGAGGGAGAAGCCAAAATAGTGATGGTATATGTAAAGTTATGTACACCTCTGTAGAGAAATAGCAGCCTGCTGCCTGTCCAGCTTTCTCTGTCACTGAAGGGAGTCTCAGCTGTTGGTGGAGTTTGCCCTGGAGCAGATTAGGGAAAGCTCACACCAGCAATTTTGGAGGCTGACCTACAGAAATTATCATCTCCAGCTAAGGGGACGGTAATGAGCTGGTGGGGATCTGTAAGTATGTTGCTGCACAAGCCTTCAGGGAGATTGCAGGGGTTTGGCTTCACTGTGGAAGTATGTGTATTTATCTGTTTTTCTGAAGGATGCTTTCTGATAAAGATTTTTTGTGCAGCAAATTTCCCTTCACTTGCACTGGCTGTTACTCAACACATTTTTCCCCTTAGCAGGTTGTAAGCGTGGCGAGTATTATTTCCAGCTTTGCATGAGATAAGCATAAAAATGAGATTTCAAACTCAGCAAAACAACTTACTGGCTGTGGGTTCCTTAAATTTACCTCTTCTTTCTGAGGCAGTTGAACGCCTTTAGGTAGCAAGCTGCTCTGTGCAGCTCAAGGGGCTTGCATCTCTCTTTTCTTCCCTCTCCCTTTCTCCACAGCCCCACAATTCCAAGAAGATGAGTTTTGGAGGATTCCAGAAGATAAGCCCTGGGAGGGCTGCATGGGACTGGCTCTGATGCAGCTGGTGTGTGCTGTCAGCGCTGGCTGGGAGGCAGGAGCCTGGCCAGACACAGGAGCTGGTTCCTTTCTAGAGACCTAAATGGGGCTGGGCAAGGTAGCCTGGGGCAGGGCTTGCCCTGGTGGAAGACGTAGTTTTCCTGAGCAGTGATGTGGATGTGAGTTTTATTGTGAAAGTGAAATGTGAGCGAGTGAAAGGAAGAGTTTTCACTGCCCTTGGCTTTGGCCTGAGGCACTGTGCAAGGAGGCTGGAGACAGGCAGGGAGGAAAGAAAGGGCTATTTGGTCAAGATCTTCCCAACTCCTCAATGAACAGCTGAAATTCCTCACATTGAGTTAATTGGAGAGAAAATGAGATGGGAGAAGTGGAAATCTCAGACGATTAAATAGTGGATGACTTCAGACCTTTCAGAAGAGCACTCTCCTGACTGGTGGTGAAGGGCCATCAGGGGAGTTAGTCACCCATGGCTTGAAAACTGGTTCATCATTCCAGACTACTGCAAAAACCGGCATACAGACCTGCGTCGGGGGGCCTGCAGTGACAGGAGGAGGAGGTGGCTGTGCTCCTGGCGATGCCCCCGCCATCCATGGTAGCCACCACCTTGGCTTCTCCTTGGGACAGAAAAAAACAGCTGAAGGTGAATTACAGATGGGAGTAGCACAAGAGAGAGAGCTACAGTTAGCGGTGGTTAATGGGCAGTTTTAGCCAGGGTCATACACAGAGGAATAATCTCTTCTCTCTGTGTTGAATTTGTTTGCCTAGCTACAAGAAACACTTTCTAGCACCAACAGCTTAAACCTGGGAGTTCAGCTGCATGGCAAATACCACAGCTGCTGAATTTTGGATGGTACCAGACTCTGCATTTCATTATCGCTCCATTTGTTATTGTGATAAAATTTTAAAACAGCATTTAAGAGATGTTTCTCGTCCCAGATGTTGACAGATCTGGCCAGGGTTTTGCATGTTGATAGCTGGATTTACGCTAGTCTTTCATGTTAACATGTGCGATAAACCTGTCATACAAGTAGATGTTGTGGGGCCTTTGGATTTTCCACAGCAATTTAGAAAAAACCAAAACTCCCAGTGAAGCTGGCTAAGCATGAACTTTGGCGTTGCTTCCTTGTTGGAGCTGCCTACGTGCTTTGTAAAGCAGGGACCTTCATTCATCCCTTGCAAAGTGCTTCCCAG